GAGGGAGATTCAAGGCTTCACACCTGATGATCGATCCAGTAGCTCCATGTTAGCTTCATCAACAAGTGGCTCCAACAGTCTGCGTCTCTAAACGTCTACACAATAAAATAAATCCACAGATTTTAAGGAGAAACGAGTGAAAGTTTTCAGAGAATCAGTTAAAGCAGCAGAGTGAAATGAATGTGTGTAAAAAGAGGATAAATGTGACCAAACAGGACGGAGCATCTGCAGCAGGGAGCGCCGCGCTCGGCTAATTAGCTAATTAGCTCTGACTCTGTATGCTAATGAGTGTTTTCTAATTTACATGGAGGCGCGGCAGATGGAAAAATGTACATAATATCAAAGCATGTGTTAGGAAACTGTGTTTTATACCCCGAGTGTGTGTGTGTGTGTGTGTGTGTGTGTGTGTGTGTGTGTGTGTGTGTGTGTGTGTGTGTGTGTGTGTGTGTGTCAGTGTGTGTCAGTGTGTGTGTGTGTGTGTGAGGGGAGGGGCTGGATTAATGCGAGCTAATCAATCAGACTGAAGAGTAGTGAACTACACACACATATACACACACACACACACACTTGATGAGAGAAATCAATCAGTGCAGGAAGATAGCCTGAGTGTGTGTGTGTGTCAGTGTGTGTGTTTCTTTCATGTGTGTGTGTGTGTGTGAGAGTGTGTGTGTCTCTGCTGGCTGTGATAAGTGGGTTAAGCTCCTCTGGGTTAATTAGACTGTTTTAGATGTGACTAATTTGCTGGCTACGGGCACCACAGTATGCTAAACACCCTGCAAGTGTGTGTGTGTTTGTATTACTGTGTGTGTGTGTGTGTGTGTGTGTGTGTGTGTGTGTGTGTGTGTGTGTGTGTGTGTGTGTGTGTGTGTGTGATTGTGCATGGGCAGGGCATCCTTCACAGCCGACACTCTGACATGTGTATATAAGATAAGTCATTATGAAGCTGTTGTCAAACATTCAGCTCGTCTGCCTCTGATTCCTGTTTGTTTTTTCAGAGTTTTTACTCGTTTCTGAGCAGATTTAGAGTCTGACTTTAAAATGCAGCGAGTTTTTTACAGACGGGAACATCTAACAACAATAAATCGATTTAAATCAGTAGGTTAAAGGAAAAGTCTGCACTTTATTGTCTTAATTTCAGTGGATGTTTTTGGTTTGGGTCTTTTTAAGTGGTTTATTTATTCTGGTCTTACGAGTATTTTTATACTTTCAGGACTCGACAGTGCGACTATTTCACTCGCATTTGTGACTAACAGTAGATGTGTGCAAATTGTAAAATGTATTTAGGGTCACATATGCGCACAAAAAATGTTTTTTTTTTTATGTAAATACGGTGGTGAAGTTAGTTTTAGGTTGGATATCTGACAGACATTCACTGAGGATCTACCGGTGTCTTCTCACTCTCCATAGCAGCGTGGTTAAATTTACTCGACACCCTCACTGTCAACATCGGTTTTGAATAAGGGACCGTCAATAAATTACCGGTTGATGTTCTGAAAAGGCTGTTTTCCTTCGAAGGCTTCCATGTCATGTGACCAATTGACCTAAAATTGATTTCAAATAATAGTACTAAGGTCGGACGATGAGACATGTCTCTTTATTTCATTAATTTGTCCTCATTAGATTTTTTGTGTTAAATTTAAAGGCAAATTTTGAACATTTTCTTAGATAGCTTCCATGTCATGTGACCAAAAGACCTCAAATTGATTTCAAATAATCGTACTTATGTCAACCAATAAGACAAACATTATTTGATTAATTTTCATTTTGCCCTAAAGTTCTTTGTGCGCTCTTTACTTTTTCAACATGTGAAAAACGTTAGTGTCAATCCCTGACTTTTGTAGATTTATTGACATAGTTTTAATACTTTTCTGGACGAGTTTTGATGAGCACATCTGGGTCTGATCCTGGATCAGATCCTGGGTCATATATGTGTTATTTGTTCCTGCTGTTTGGTGCAGGTCTAACTCCTCTGTGTCTGAGCGACTGTGACAGTTATTAAGGTGCTGATGCAGGTGTGGCCTCTGATTGGTCAAAGCAGCATAGGAACAACATCTGATTGGAGGAACAGAGCTTTGGTGATAGTTTGTGTCAGGTGTTCTTGATTTTTAGCTCGTAAACAGAAGGTTAAATAATACTGAGCAGTCTAAATTTAACATTATATTTCTCCCCTACATCTTTGGACTCTTAAATCCTACGTTTTCTCTGGTTCCTACCTGTTGAGTTGTTTTTTTTAGGGTCACACAAACAGAGATTAATCATTTCTCCTTTTCCTCTTTTTCTCTGCTGGACATGACGGCTGGTTTTCCTCCACAAAGGTAAGACTAAAATCATTTTTAACTCCACTTTTCTCCCTGTCTGTCTCCTTTCGTATCATCTCTGAGCTTTAGTTCTGTTTGACGTCTGACTCTGGATTGACTGGGCGATTACTGATCATGTTTCAGGTGTGACAGACTGATTTTTAGTGGAACATGCTGAACTTTTAAAAACCTGAGGTGCTCCATCTTTTGCACCTTTTTGTTCGTCCTAAAAGTCGTTCAGATTGAGGATTAATTTTGGAGAATCAACACCAACGACATGCCCACACAGAGGCGGCACAGATTAGGAATATTCTTCATAACGTGGCAAAGATCTGACCGGTTTATCGTCCGGCTTTCTCTTTTAATCTCATGTGAGAGGACTGCCGTGTGTGTCTCCTCAGCAACCTGTTAAACTAAATGGGAAGTGACAGATTCTCTCAAGGATAATGTGGCCAGTGAGGCTGATATTACCACACGCACACACACACACACACACACACACACACACACACACACTCAGAGAGAGAGAGAGAGCGTGGATGATCCATTTCCAGGTCTGCATATTGATCTGAGTCTCCTTTATTTGATCAAATAGGACCCCTGTGTAATTCATCTGTGTGTGTGTGTGTGTGTGTGTGTGTGTGTGTGTGTGTGTGTGTGTGTCTGTGTCTGTGTGTTTGTTAGCTTGTAGCGTGGTGCAAAGCTAACGCGTTAAAGACGATAAACTTACAAGCAAACACGGTGACTCACACTGACTCAGAGAGGAGCTGGAATAATGCAATCTTTGCGTCTGCACAGTTTTAGTCGTTTGAAGGAGGCAGCAGGAAAGAGCAAAATCTGAAATCTGCAAAACTTTGGACCCTTCAGAGTCCCTAAACTCGAGGTTGAGTTAGTCCCACATGTTGCTTCCTGCTCAGCCTCCTCTGTCTTCATGTCACTTTGCTGCAGAGCTCCCTCCCTCTGTTGTGGATTACTCAGTTTGGCATGTGTTACAACAGAGAGTTCAGAGGCGGCTGTTCTGTTTGATTGTGTCTGATCGTGGACTGACCTCTTCCCATCCTGTCCGAGTCTCTTTCTGTTTGTCTTTGACCGTGTCCCGCTCAGTCTGAGACGACCCGACTCTTTGTCTCTGGATTTTTTCTTTCCACTACCATGAAGATCTGCATGAAGAGTTTGCATGCTGCATGTCCTTTAAAAGAAAGAAGGAAATCTGAAATTCTGTAAAATGCCATGATTGGCAGCTTTATCGACCAATGAGGTTCCTGTGGCACGGTGCAGGATTAGCAGCATTAAGGAACTCTCTGTTCCTCTGCAGCACAGATCATTTCAGTTTGTGGAGCAGGCGCCTCATGTGGAGGATGAGCTGTGATTGTAAATGCATACAGAGATTCACACAGATCTGCATGTTTACATTTAACCAGGGTGACCATACATCCTCCTTTACCCAGACATGTCCTCTTTTTTGGGGGCTGTCCGGCCTTGTCCGGGTGAGTTTATAAAATCTTTAAATATCCGGGGTTTTGTGTGGAAGTTTTGAGTTTGTGTCGCGTGGATTTACTGAGTTAAAAGCGTGAAAAAAACACTCGACCCGACCTGAAAAACTCGTGCAACAAACTGGCTGTAAATGCACAATAAGTTAGTGCTCCTCAGAGGATGTTTTGGCCTCACTTTGCAGAGCAGGTGGTGGTGAAGGCGTGGTCCATCTGAGGGTGTCATGTTGGAGGTTATCATCTTCATCCTCCTTTTGTACAAATTTATTAAATTTCACAAACAGTCAAGACGCTCTGCTGCAACGATTCAAACTCCAGGTGCCGTTTCTCCAGCTCTTCATCCTGTGTGTGTGTGTATGTGTGTGTTTGTGCGCGCGCGTGTGTGAGACGCTGATTGCATGGGGGACTGTGGACTTAATGAGAGCTAATTGGAGCAGCCTGATGTTGTTGTTGTTGTTGCTGCTGCTTGCTAACATTGATGACGAGCTCTAATGATGCTAAGCTAATGACATTAGCATTGTAAATGTGCCTCTTCAGCAAACAACATCAGCGCAGAAATCACGGCCATAATTAGTACAGTTATTTTTAATACGGTGGTGTTATTTGGCCTATTGGGCTTAATGGAGTAACACAACACAGGCGTGCGTCTCTCTCACACACTCTCACTGATTACTACTTCACTTAAGTTTGTATTTTATATCAAATAAGGGAGTTTAACAATAAAAGGATCGAATTATTAAGTTAAATTGATGCAAAAATACAATAAAACACACATTTAACAGTAAAACAGCCACAGGATTAAGAGGGTCTTTCCAAAGCGGTGCAGTTTGCAGCGAGTTGCAGGATTTTACTTCTTTCACTCAAAAAGAAGTTTTTCAGAGTAATTATTATTATTTTTTTTTTATTTATTTATTTATTTATTTTTTGGACTAATTTTTTTCCTCTTCTCTGGGATCATGATCATTTAAAAACGAAGCGAACATGGCCCGCTTGTTTACTTTAATCAAGTTTTACTTTCTTTCGGGTTTGTGACTCTGGCAGATCCTCCTTTCTTTAAGTCGGATCAATGGAATCGTCATAAGTTTGTATCTCACTTAGTCAGGAAAAACAGAATCCCGTTTAGACAAAATGAAATAACTCCGTACAAAAGCTGAAGAATCAAAAAGACCAAAACGAAAATTGTATAGATTCTTGCAGGATTTAGAAAAAGAAAGACAAAAAAAGTAAGTACAAAAACAAAGGCCAGAAAAAAACAAAAAGACCCCAAAAAATTTGTACAAAAAACAAAAAGACCAAAAAATTTGTACAAAATACAAAAAGACAAAAGAAAATAGTAAAAAAAAAAAAAAAAAAACAGTCTGAAAAACAGAACAAAATTATGTCTAAAAAACAGAAAGATGAAAAAATTGCCTGAAAAACCGAGAGACGAAAAAAAGTATGAAAAACAGAACAAATATTTTTGTCCGAAAAACAGAAAGACTAAAAAAATAGTCTGAAAAGCTTAAAAAAACAAAAAAAATAGTACGAAAAAAACTGAATAAAAATTTGACTGAAAAACAGAAAAAAATTGTCCGGAAAACAGCAAAAAAAACTGTTCCCTTTTCTTTTTTTTTGTAAGTGGATGCAATAGGCTTCCATAGTTCTGCAGAATAAAATCAACTAAATGACTCAGAATGAAGCTGCAAAGTTTGTAAGAACTTCAAACCTTGTTTTAGTTTTTTGTCTTTTTCGTGGTTAGTTTGTGTGATTGCTTTAAGGACCTTTGTGCAGCACGTTATCAAAACGCCACTGTAGGCTGTATCTGTGTTTGTTTGACACTCTACTCTCCAACATTTAACATTGTGCTGCACTCTATCAAACTCACACTCCACCTTCAGAAGAGTCCCATCTTTATTTGATTGTGTGAATTTGTTGCTCCCAGCTGCGGCTGAAAGTGGAGTTTGTACAGATGATCATACCGGCGCATAAACACACCGCAGACAGATCTAGAGGTTGATCCGAGCCAATCCCATCCAGCTGTGTTTGTTTAGCACCTTTCCTGCAGCCCGAAAAGCCTCACATCGAACAAACAGGCAGAGAAACGACTGCAGCAGCGATAGATTAGATATATCACTGAAACAAGAGAGGAGATGATTTACTTTGAAATTAGATTAAATTAATAATGCACATTAATGCATTTAGACTCTATTTGATGTACTTGGACATGGCACCTGATTTAACTTGTGATAAATGTTGATTAAACTTACAGGATCGACCTTTTTCTCGAAGTTTAAGTCATTTTCTTTTACCTTTAGAGTTTGGTGCAGATTTGTGCGTGCAGCTGCAGCAGGAACAGTCCATCGTTCATTAAAACACATGTGCTCGTTTACAGAGAAATGTTTTTTTTCCACTCAGACATGCAGCCTTATTTTCCAAATCGAGCCGACCCCTGCTGTTTCCTCCAAACTCTTCTTCCCCTGCGAAGCATTTCAGGAAATGTTTTTAAAAAATGCAAAAGGAAGCAGACGGGCCTGGACTGAATTATTTAAGATTTGTCCAACTCCAGTGAATCCTGAGCTCCATGTTTTAAAATGCACAAAGACTACAAGAGTCAATTTGAGGAAGATTTAAAGAATATAAAAATGTTTTTCCTGCAGAGTGTGAGTGAAAGAGAAGCTGCTGGAAAATTCTGCACATTCCCAGAGTCTGTTTGAGGTTCTGTATCCCAAATTATACGGTTTGTTTCCAAGACGACTTATTTTAAAAAAGCAGGGAAACTTATGTGCTCGTGTGTGTGTGTGTGTGCGTGTGTTCTTGTCCTGACATGACATGCATTATTTACAGCCTGCCTGCACTGCTCAGGAACCCTGTTATTTTGCGTGGGTGTAAAAAGCGTGCACGCTGAGCGCAGAGCGGTACGTCCATCACAGCTGTTGCGTAACGTTTTGAGTCCCGTGTGACTTTGGAGCTGCGGCTGTGCGGAGCGAAACACTGCTGCTCTCTGCCGCAACACAGATCCTCCTCATGTCTGCTGAGGCATGTGGGCTATGAGGAGCTGGATCCTGCATGTGTGTGTGTGTGTGAGTGTGTTTTTTAAATCTGTCGTGTTGGATCAGGACAGCAAATTGTCAGAAAAAAATCAGATAAAAGTTGCTGCAAACCTCAAAATCTTGATGCTTTCATATTTAAAAGATGATTTTTAGAGTTTTCTGCATCACTGTGACGTGTTTCCACCGTGTGCAAATTAAGCTTATCGCCCAGCCCTACTTAGCAATATAGATTATTTCTTTACCCTGAATTGTAGTGCCTGTGTTCAGGTTGTTTTGTTAGTTAAGTTTTTAACCCCCAAGTGGTCCTTCCTGAACTGATTTTTTTGTGATTTAGCTGCAGTGAGTGAGTTTTCTGTCAGTTGAAATATAAGCATAAAGATGCAGACATGTGTAAAAGCCATAAGGATAAGTAGAAACACAAGCGTGCTCGGGTTGGTCCTCAGGGGAAATGTTTGGTTGTTGAATTCTGACGCATTCAAGGACATCAGGAGTTTTCTTTTCAGTTGAAATGAAAACATAAAGATGCAGACATGTGTAAAAGCACAAAGATATCTTCTGTCGCCAGGTTGCATGGCGTAGTGCTTTCCCCCATCTTTGGCTCTCCTGCTGCACCAAAGCTCACTGATACTTGATTGGTCAGTTCCACTCTGACACTTTCCATGCAGTGGAAATAGGCACCCAAGAATAGATGCACCTAAATTTGCAGGCAAAGACAAATTCATAATCACTTAAAATAGTCTCAGAGCTCGAGAGCTAACCAGAACGACCTAATCCTGTTAAATAATGAGGGTCTGAATGACAGACAGGATCCAGATGAATCCACCTGTTCTACAAACACACCTGTAAGTGCTGGAGACCTGATGAATGTAAACACACAAACATGTATATTCACAGGGACAAGCATATGCATGTTGTAGACAAGACTGAGGGTTGGCAGTATAAAGGCCACAGCACAAAACAACAACAACAACATCCGCACACACATAAACACGCACACAAACACACACACACTCCAGGGAGGGAATATCCCTCGTTTGCATGCAAGAGCTGCTGCAGAGAGAAAAGCCTGTTTTTGTAGATTATGGAAATGACTGCATGGAGATGAAGTCTCTGTTTGTGTGTGTGTGATTGTGTGTGTGTAAGAGTGCGTGTGTGTTAATGCAGACAAGCTGTGTTGTGTTGACAAAGCAGTTCCCGATGAACTGAGTGTGGTTACACAGTCGAGAGCTGACTGAGAGCCAAAATGTCAGCTTTATTTGAGGGTGTGTTTTATATTAGCTCAGGAGTGTGTGTGTGTGCATGTGTGTGTGCTTGTTCCTGCACATATTTTCCTTCTTGCTTGCATATATGCCTTCACCCGTGTGTGTGTGTGTGTGTGTGTGTTTGCGTACTAAGACGATTAAAGCAGTAGGTCAAGGTGAGGTAATGTAAAAACAAAGATACACACGCTGCGTCCAGTGTGTGCATGTGTGTGTCAGTGTTAATGATTGTGTAGGTGTGTGCGTGTGTGTTTGTGTGAGTGTGTGTGTACTACATGGATTATGTATAATGGAGAAAAATGCAAATCATGCAATTACAAGCCCCAAAGCCAAGTATTAGAATTAATGCCTGCAGCAGATGTGATGGAAATGAAGTAAATTTCTGCATAAATTAGCATACTGTACAGCAGGACAACCCCCACAACACACACACACACACACACACACATGTGGACACAAACAAACATGTGTACACACGCACACACAGGACTTGGCGCCTCTTTATCACCTTTGTCACATTTAATTGTTGTGTTTTCGTAATTAATACGCCTTCGTTTTTCTGTGTGAACCAGGCGTCAACTTCTTCTTTTATTAAAGTAAACATCCTCAACAGCGCCTCCTACAGACCAGTCTGCTCATTAACCCTAACCTAATGTAAGAGTCTAAATGTGAATGGCATATTTGAGTGGTGAGGTGTTGCAAAAGCCTCTTGATTTTGGATTAACCTGATTTCCAACCAAACCTCATTTAAAAAACAAGCGATTTAAAGTGAAGGCTGAGAACAGTATTTCTATTCATTTCATTATCTTGTTTCTGAGTTAAAAACAACAACTACTATTAAACAGTGTATTGTTCGGCGCTATCTAAATTGTATTAGCGTGCAAAAGATCATAGGATGAGGGGGCCTGCAGAAGATGCACCTGATGCAGCCTCCATGGTGTCAAAAATGCAGGATGCACTGCTTCGATGCAGTCCTTGGATTAGGACAGAGATAAGGGGACTGAGAGACAAACTCAACTATGTTTTTGCCACATGGTCAACAGTAAGAATGCAGCACATCCCTACTGTTTCATATTTGCTCTTAAATCTGTCTGTTTCTTCATATTTATGAAGTTTGACATCTTCAAATCTCACGCAGAAGCTCCTTTTAAGAAGTCCACCAAGAGTTGAGGGAACTGATGAGGTTTAGAGATGATTTTTGAAGACCCTGGAACAAAAACCTGCAATATCCAGGGTTTTTCTTCTTCAGAGGGGTAATGTTTATGATTATGAATTTTAGATATCAATTATTTTGTCACATTTGTTTGGATTTTCTCAAATAATCAGTCCACGAATGCTGCCATGTGAACGTCTTTTTATAATCTGCTGTATTTTCTGCAGAAGTACAAGTATTTCTGTTCGGCACGAGTTATTTTTACTCGTCCACATTTTCTCTCTCGTAGAGTTTGGGTTTTTCTATTTTTACTCCACTATCCTAACACTCGCTCACATGCAGCCACACACACAGAGTTGTGTTTTGGATCCGTTTAAAGCGCTGGCAAAGCGAGAGGAAGCTCATCTCCATGTTGCCATGGAAACGTAGAAGAGAAAATGTTTGATATGTCCTTGGATGTTTACATGAAGCTGTCAGAGTGTGTGTGTGTGTGTGTGTGTGTGTGTGTCTGTGTGCGTGTGTGTGTGTGTGTGTGTAGAGTCGTATTTGCAGTAGATTCTCCGGTACGTTCCTGCTCATCGTGTTAAAAGGAGAGAACAAGAGTCCTCATTACATTTGAGCTGTTTCTATTCTGAGACTGCAGACGAGTTAAAAAATGCTAAACTGATTCTGTTCCTCTCTTTACAGATAGAAGAGCTTTTTTTTACCATTTTACAACACATCTGAAAAACTACGACTAAAACAAGGTCCAATCTTAACCTGGTTCCTCCGTCTGATAAAGTTAAAGTCTGGATTGTTCGCCTGATTTTCCTGAAACGTTAAGAGTGATTTTACCTTCACAGATATTCAATGTTTACGATAAGAAAGGACAGGTTTAGAGAGAGTTGACTCCAGTTGTTGCTAAATGGATCTGTCAGCATGTATTGGTCATGTATTGGTCATCATTCGTCATTATCTTAGGCTTATGTTCAGGTTTTAAAATCTTTGCAGTATGGGCCAAACTTAAGCTGCAGAAAAGGAGATCAGGGGAGAAAATTCAGAGTCAGAGTCAGTGCTTATAATAAAACCGTGACTTGACGATAAGAGGTCCTTGCCACACAGTTTAAAACAAAGGATAGATGAAGAGGAAGTAGCAGACCGCCAGCTAACTAGCTGTAGCAGCAGAGATGATTCAGCACTTTTAAAACTGACGGTTTAAAGTTTATTGTGAGTTAAAATCAAAGTTAAACAGATTGAGTCTCTTCGAGTTACTAATAAACCGAACATTTATCATTTCTGATGGTTTAACTGTTCTCTACCTTTCAAAATAAAAGCACAACTTCTCCAGAGAAATTCAGTCACAGAGCTGATGATGGACCATAATTTGAATATTTTGACAGCCTAGGGCTGGATGACATGGCCTCAAATCAAAATCATGATATTTTGAGCAATTCACCTCGATAACGATTTATCACCCAGCCCTATGACGTGTAATTTAAATGTGTTCATTAGTAAAGTTAATGAAGTAAAGTGCTGCTCCACTCTCATACTGCTCAATTTGACTGATTATTTCACTTTATAATATCGTCAAGATCAAATATCATCATCACGATAATTCGCAGAGGTGAAAATCTGTTTTTATACATTAACTACGACTTCTTAAAGTTGTGCCTGTGCTCAGGTTATTTTGTTAGTTAAGTTGTTAACTAACAAAAAACAGTTCAGTTGTTAGTAAATTTTGTTATCGCTATATTTTCAGTTTATCACCCAGCCCTATGACGTGTAATTTAACTGTGTTTATTAGTAAAGTTAATGAAATAAAGCGCTGCTCCACTCTTATCCTGCTTTTCCTCAATTTGACTGATTATTTTACTTTATAATATCATCAAGATCAATATCATCATCACGATAATTCACAGAGGTGAAAATCTGAAAAACTACAACTTTTTAAAGAGAGGGAGGTCACTTAAGAAAAGGCCTGAACTAAACTCTAATATAATGTGTTTTTATTCTTCTCGAATTACAGCGAGCTCAGCGGTTTGTTTACCTGCAGCTGCCCATCAGGCTGTTTATCAAACTCACTCACACTCTGCAGGGTCTCGGGTTAAAGGAGTCGCAGTAAATCTCAGGGAGGCTTTGCTCTTTCCTTCACACAGAGAAGTTAACTGTAAATAAAACCAGTTGGATTTTAATTTCATTGAACACACACACTCCCTCAGACACACACACACACACATTCACAGAGAGACAGAGGGAAGATATCTGCGGAGTCTTAGGTTAAAAGGCGTACAATAAATCTCCAAGAAGCTTTGTTCTCTCTCTGAAATGGAAAAGTTCGCGATAAATAAAACTGGAATTAAATTTCAATCCGTACACACACTCGCTCATTCATACTCAAACATGCAGACGGTGTGATGCCCCTCATATTGTCTGTGTGACTGGAGAATAAATGAGAGAAGAGTTGATGCACTGGGTAGGTGAGAATCCTCAGATAACCCCGGCAAACACACCTTTCTATCTCACACACACACACACACACACATTTAACACTGTCCAGAGAGAGCGTGTGGGTGTGTGTGTGTATGTGTGTGTATGTGTATGCGGGGGAAGGGGGGCGTGTTCGGTCTCGTCTGCATGGCGGGTTGTTGCAGTCAGCCAAGGTCACGTCACAGTTTTATGGCAGGACTTTCTGTCAGAAATCGGGTTTTTAACGAGGGAAATGAACCTTGAAAACAAGCCGACGAGTTCTGGACGGACCGAGAGGATTTAAAGAGAAACATGTCGGACCGTAGGAATGTTCCAGCAGCATGTGTTTGAGGGCCGTATGTCTGCACAGGTTCAAAACAAACCAGTTAAAACACACCTGGAAACATGAAGTTTGAAATGGTCCTTTTTGAAGGTCCTCCTGGTGACTTTGTAACATTTGTAGCAACATTCATCTCTCGACGGGGTGTCTAACTCGGCGTTACGGCGTGTTTGACTTAATTTTTAGCCGGAATATCCCTTTAAAGTCCCCCTGGTGTAGAAGACACGGTCTGTTTAGGGGGAAAAGGGTTGAATTTTGTTCCTGCATGAAGACTTTCATCGTGTTCAGCAATGTGCAATTTTTATGCCACCGTGAAGCTCTTCTGTTATCACCTCCTGCACCTCCTGAATAGATGAACCTCAAGGGTCGTAACGTTTCTCAGACAGTCAGGTTTAAATAACGATGTTTGTTTGGTCCATTTGTGTCTTTTGCAGATTCAGAGGAATTCAAACCTTTATTTGAACTCTGGGGTCAAAGTTCATATTCAGACTGTCATGAGCTGCTCAGACTCATAATGATAGAGTATATCAGCACAACAGGCGTCTGAAGTAGCTCGCCGTATGATCCAGCAGAGGGCGCTCTTATTGTAACCTGACCAATCCATTCATCTGTGCATCCATGGTCAACCCTAGACTTCTTGCATGAGGCTCAGAAAAACGTCATTAAATGTCAACATACCCAAACATTTGCACGACATGTTCGATATTCATTAGCAATTTTCGAAAAACTTTGTGTCTTTTTATGTTTTCTATTATTCTAAATGTGCAGTTTGTTGACATGTATCCTCACATCTCTGCATGTTGATTGATAAAATAACAACATTTAGGAATATAAAGTCCACTTTATGAAGATAAACACAGCCTCTGGTTTATCAATGATTCTATTATTCTGACTTTAATTCCTTTAAGATTATGTCAAATATTGGTCTGTTTTTGGGGCCTTTTCTGCACCAATTAAACGTGTGCATTAGAAATCAAACTCAACAAACTTGATTGGCATTCAGTAACTTAGTAAAAATTTACCAATAAGTTTATTAACATATATTGATTTGGACCCCGTAGGATTTTTTGATGCCAGAGAGTCGTCGTCACGTGAGTTTAAATCATGCAGTAAATGTTTCTGGGAGTATTTCTGCACGGCTATAAATGCACAACTTGTTGAATCATAAAATACTTGCAAAATTTAACATAAACATGTTGCACGGCCATAAATTGTGCAAAATAAACAAACATAAAAATTTAGTGAGTCTACGAGGTGATCTGTCAAAACGTTTCACAGTTTAGTGTGTGAGATACAAACACTTCATCCCAATGACAACAGCCAACAGATGGCTCTATATCACTGCGCCCTCCTCTCTGATTTCTCTCTCTCTCTCTCTCTCTCTCTCTCTCTCTCTCTGTTGGTTTTCTGTATGTGCTGCTGTAATGGCTTCAGTCTCTACAACGTGCAAACATTGATCCTGGCAACACAACAACATCTGTGAACTAGTGTTAAACAGCAGGAAAAAAAAAAAAAAAAGGTGACAAACTCCCATCCAACAATATTACAGAGCCAAACACACAAACACGAAACAGGAACAGGTCAGGAAACACACACGTGCCTTTGTTACACCTCACATTAACACAACCATTGAGCATTTAAGTGGCCAAGTGTGAACGTGGCTGTGCTTTTCCACGATTTTAATACGCTCAGACAGAAATAGTAGCAGCTCAGGAGACGACGAAGAAATGTAAATAAAGCAATCTGTTATCCTCATTAATTCACAGAGTAGGCGGAAACCACCGTCTATATAATATCTTAATCTGGATAGGAGGAAGTTCTGTATCAGGGATTTCTTCTTGTGCTGAAGTCTGAGTGTCGGTGTCGTCTCAGCAGACAGTGATGGATGTGCAGAGAGCAGAGCGCATGATTGCAGAGGAGAATCTGATCAGCAGCTCCTCAGGCAGGTTCAATCTCACGGGCCGGTGTGTAGGAGAGCACGTCTCCCAGCAAGTTTGGGAGATTCTGTCTTTGTTGGACACACTCTTAATGTCATTAGAGATAACGGATCGCAGTAACCCGGATTTCTCTGCGGCTGTTACAGAGATGGTGATTATGAAGGGGGTGAGAGTGGATCTGCATGCCTGGAGCTCAGACAACAAACTCTGGTGTGAAATGAAGTGTCGGACTGCAGTTCTTTAAACAGCCTCTTAAGAAAGGCCTCAGTCCTTACCTGCTAAAACTGGATATTTATTAGACAGTAAAAAGCTAAAGACAAAGGTTACAGTTAGCATTGTTGATGTATAAAGGTGGGAAAGATACAGTGACTTTTCTTAAGATTCAACGCAATACAATGCCATGTGATATATCAGATACAATTCAGTACAATATGATATAATACAATGCTAAGAGCTAAAAGCTGCACCTGATGTCCAAGCAGTTTGACCGATCAATGCTAACAGCTGATTATATTGATTATAGGGGTGGGAAACACTGACATGTTATGATACAATATGAAACAATTTAATACAACACCATATGATACAATACATAATGTGATACAATAGGATTCTATAGGATACAATACAATATGATACAATTTGATGCCATACCATACCATATGATGTAATACAATACACCTGATACAATAAGAGAAAATACAATACGATGCAATGTGATATGATACGATGTAATTCGACACCATATGAAACAATACCATACAATACACAATGTGATACAATACACAATGGGATTTAGTAGCATACAGTACAATAATATACAGTATGATACAATGTTATGTAATGAATTGGAATGCGTGATGATACCATACCATATGTAATATGATATACCAGATACAAAAGGATACAATATAATACGATATGATACAATGTGAAGCAAAACACAATATGATACATTACAATTGGATATGATGCATTGTGGTGCTTTTGTCACACTGCAATACAATATAATAGGATACAATATAATATGATGCAATACAGTAAGATACAATCCAATACAATTCAATAATATACAGTACTGTAATATTCAATGCCGTTCAACACAGTATGGTTCAATAGATACAATACAAAACATAAAAGACAATATGTATGGTATGAAATTATACTTTATGGTATGAAATGATGTGATGTAGTAAAATACAATATGACAAACTAAGATACAGTACTGTATGATACTTCTGCCATAGAGTCACTATTGTAAGAAAACTAATCGGTGCTATACTGTTGTTTATTTCTCGGCCTCGAACCTTTGATGGATGTTTTCCAGCCCTTCATATTTCTTGTCTGTATTTGGCAGTCCTGTCTAATAAAAGTAAAAAATTCAACTTTAAAGAAGGAAATCTGGGCATGTAAGTTCACAAACTCAAGTAGCATCTGTTTTATAGTCACTGACCTCAGTTTTTGTCTGCGTGATGTTTCCTAGTTTATATCTGAAGTATTTTTTATAAGCAGATCCTTCAGATATGACCCTGTTGTTTGAGGAAAAACTTCAGTTTCTGGTCACAGATTGAACAAGAATAAAGCGTTGGTCCTTTTAAGGGGTGAGTGTTGTTGCTGACTCTAGTGTCGGTGCAGTATAAGGCTCTCATGGTGTCCATTATCAGGGTTTAATGGACAGGGCTCAGATAATGTATTCTCGGTCAGGTTTTATCCCCGTCTTCAAACACTCAGCTCTTGAGATGCTGCTCTCCAGGCTTTGATTTATGATTTCTGCCATGTGCATGAATGCCAGCCTAAAATATCTCATCATGGTGGTTGAATCGCAAATATGTGAAGAATTATGAGCAGGAGGAGTCCAGATGTGAGGGCCTAAAAGTGTTTTCTCTGCGGGTTTATTAAAGTGAAATAAAGACAGACTCTGAGTTCATGATGTACGAGCGAAATCAGGTTTAAATACTCTGTGATGGATAGTGAGGAAGAGCTGAATGAATGTGTGGCCTCAAGTGACCGGGAAGGACTGCCAGCTCTGTGTGTGTGAGTGTGTGTGAGAGTGTGTGTCTGTGTTCATCGTGCCTCTGTGGTGTTGCTTCGGTCACACCCTGCCTCACATCGCCCCAGACCATCTGTCAACTACATGACCAGGACACACGCACACACTCTCTCTCTCACACACACACACAAAAACACACATCTGGCCAGAACTCGCCCTTCCACATCCTGTCAGCCACTTTCTCTCTCCCTATTCGTGTGTATGTGTGCATCCGGGCGATCAAACAGTTAGAAGGCCACGGCCCCTCGGCAAACTATTGATCTGTAGATGATTCAGTGTGTGTGTGTTAATGTAAGTGTGTGTTTGTGCTGTGATTTACTGCGGACCACAACACAAAGACAGAGCCCGGGATTAAAGGACAAGTCAGATAGTGATTTTGCCTACTGATCAGATTAAAGGGGGTGCTAATAAGAGAAGGCTTCGATTAAAGAAGCTGCAGTTCCTCAAGTGTCCACTAGAGGCTGAGTCAAAGTGAGTCAATCCCCATAGAGCCCCATGTTAAACTGTCTGACTTCACAGCAGAATTAAACATGTTTACAGCCTGAGACAGAAAAACAAACATGGTTTCTATTAATTATTTTCTCCTGTCATGACAGCTTTGTAAAAATAAACTTTTGTTACTTTTATTTTTTGTGTTGTTTTAGTGTGGATCCTCATATCTGAGACAGTGTATTGTGAATACTACCAAATTAAAATCTCATGACACACGCAGCAGTAGTGAACCTTTTTTTTTTAATGTGTGTGTATTTAATTACATGTAAGCTGCATTTCAAGTTTTGTATCTTAAATATCGTCACAGTTTGACAGCTTCTAGTTAAAAAGCTCTCCAGAATAACCACATCTGAATCAGTCAGTGCTGACATGAACAAAGAAAAACCTCTAAACTGAGTCGATTTTCTGTTTTTTAAGTTAGTGAAAGTTGTAATATTTTTGTAAACAGGTTTCCAACAGGGACAGAATCCTCACTTAGCATGATGCTAACATATTACAATAGGAAATCCTGTGGATAAAAGGTGAAGCTAGCAGAATTAGCATTAGTCTTTTTTGGTAAGACTTTACAATAACCATAACATAAATGGTAAATAGATCATTTATAAATGGTTAGCAGATAGTTTATTAATGTTTATAATTAATCATTTATAAATAGTATATAGACCGTGAATTGTAGTTTTACCGCTAACATTAGTTTGTTATTCCAGATTGCTTTGAGTCGACCCCATATTAGTGATTAGTGATCCTGACTATATGACTATAAGGGGTGGGAGAAAAAATCGATTCACAGAAGTATCACAATATTTTGTTTTACAGTTTTTAAATTAATTTTCACATTCAAGAACCGTTTTTGTTTTGTTTTTGTTTTTTTTTTCAAATTTAAGAATAAATCCTAAAATCTGACTTACATGTGATGTGAATTTTTTGGGGGGAATATGGTTCCTGGAAAAGTCAGTAGTCATTCATAATCATTCAGCTGTTTCACTGGTGTTAAAAATGCAAACTTAAAATCGACAGTATCGTAGAATCACAATTTTAATCGAATCACGCCAGCCCTGATTACTATGATATTAACAAAAATCTGTGTGTTTTATCGCGTCATCTGGACGAGCTAGTTTTGCACTCAGCTAACTGTTAGCATGTTAGCGTTTTTCATACCTTGTTTAGTCTCTCTCTGCCTGTTTATGGGAGCTAGGATTCTCCATGTGGAGAAAATTGCCGGATTAGTGTTACCTGTTAGTTTCTCCGCCGTTGGAAAGTGGGGCAATCAAGTGGTTGTAAGCTCTTTGGCCAATAAATCAATAACTCTGCTCAGCTGCTCACCAGTCCTCGGGTAACAGGGAGGTTAACTCCTCCATTTATCAGCTAATGAATTAGCCAACAACGCAGACTGTACGGCTTTACTAACTGGACGGTTGTTACCCTCTCACTCATCCTCTCTCTCTGGACAGTCAACAAACCAATACAGGACGCTATGATCACTCTGCAGTATATTTATTTATTTGTTGAGCTCGTCTCCTAATTTCAGATATTTTATTTTTATTTTTAAATGTAGTCTTTTAGTGAAAACAACGTCAGCCCAAAAAAAGGACGAGGGTCTGAGTGCAGAAGAGGAGAAGACGAAGACGAAGAGAGTGGTGAAAACAATTTTGGGGAATGCTGCTCTCATTCACAGTGGCACCACCTCCTCCTCCTCCTCCTCCTCTTCCTCCTCCTTTTTCTCATTCCCTCACTACACATACACACACACACACAACACACATGCACACGCACACACGCACACACACAAAGCCATCCATAATAGATGCTGGCTGTAGGCAGACTCTGGTGGGTTGGACTTTATAGCGCAGCTGGATGTGCAGGAGGACGGCAGAGGCAAGATGGTAGAGCAGGTACTTCTGAGAATACTCTCCTTTTCCTCCATCTCTCCCTCTATCTTCTCCTCTTCCTCTCCTCTCACTCTCTCGCTCCTCTCTGTTTGTGCTGTGACTGCAGAAGGCAGCAGGCTGCATGCTCCTTTTCTGGTCTCTGTGTATGTGTGTGTGTGTTTGTGTGTGTGTTTGTGTGTTTGTGTGTGTATGCAGCAGATTTGGACTGCAGGGCTGCATGCTCTGTTTTTGTAGCTGTCGATGTGTTCATGCATCTCTTTCTTTCTCCCTCTTTTGAGCCCTACGAGAGTCGATGCATTCACAGATTGGAGAGAGGAGGAAAGAGAGGAGCTGCAGCTCTCTTTTGGAAATGAATCCCAGAAATCCCGCGAGCTGGAATCGGTTTGTTGTATTTGTTCGTCGATGAGAGCGAGAGCAGGAACATGAATGATATACAATGAGATTCAGATGTCTGTGAAACAATAGGTGGGAATTGTTGTCAAGTCTTTCAGCAGAGCTCGGATGTAAATGGGGTCGTACTGCTGGAATCAGTCTCCTGGTCCTGCTGGTAATGAGGGAATCCCTTCATAGGAGGACTCCACTGTAAAAATGGAGGAGAGAATATCAGCAACTTTAGCTGCAGCTGAGAGAGGAGGAGTGAAAACATGCAGAGAATTCATTTTTCATTTATTTACGTAAAGACCAGACTGAAGATTTTTAAAAACAACAGGCTGAACTTCATGAGTTAGAGGGTAGTTCAGCCATTTTCTCCACAAACTCACGTTAAAGTCCACAGATCAGCCTCGCTCTCTCGCAGATGTTGCGCACAGCTGGAGGTTATCTGTCTGAGACACGTTCTCGCTCTCTGGAAATGTTCTGTTTGGTTTAGACGAGGGGTGGGGAACGTAGAGGAACATGTTCGGGAACATTTCTGCAGAAGAGTAAAAAAGCAGGCGACTGACCCTGCACCTACTTAGCGACGGGTTCAAGTCCCTGACAGTTACACACACACCTGCTGACCTGACCTCGCTCTGAGGGGCGGGCCGAGTACGGTCAGTTTACATCCAGGGTGAATGGACTCGGACGTTCGTGGTCTTTCAGTCACTTCCTGTAGCAGGAGTCTGATCCTCTGGAGTTTGCAAATAGCTGGAGCAGCGATCATTGGGGGGCCTGCGAAGTGTCAGGGAATCAGTTCTTCACAGAGCTGCAGTGGTCAGATGGTTCATTAAAAAGTCCACAAACCAGGGGAGAGTTGGAGGTACAGGGCGGATGATAAGAGCCCGGACCAGAGTGGGGAACAGGCATATTTCCCTGGTGGTGTGGCGATGGCAGCAGAGGTAAATTGGTCATCAGGGCTTCTTCAACATTTCCTACAACAGATTTTCTAAACAGGAGAGAGACGAAGAGTTCGATAAAAACCATGTGAGGGGACCCAGAAGAGAGCCCTGAGGGACTCCGGTCCTAATGCAGCAAGGTCGAGATGACATTCTGGCTGTTAAAGAGACGGATAATTACTCTGGCTTCTTGAGTCACGATAACAGGAAACTAGTTGATGTATTTTTTTTATCTGTTTGTTATTCTGGAGGAAGTAAAAGAGTTTTTTTTAATCTACCAAAACATGAATTCACTTCTTTTACCCTCACACAGTCCAGTTTGTCGCAGTAACGCAGCCATAAGCCTGTTTGCCGACTGTCACAATACAACAAAAGTACAAAGAAAAATCCACTTCTCTTTTGTCACAGCTGACAGTAAGAACCGTCCGTTCAAAAGAAGTCGGCGTGTTGTTAATAAATGACTGGAACTCAAAAATGCATCAGTGTTTTTTTATGATAACAAGCTGATATTTGCACAGAGGTATAAGACGTCGATTTGAGATATCTGGATTCTCAGAGGAGCTGAAAACAAAGGATGAGAGTTTGAGTTTCACACGGGGGATAAAAAAGAGAGAGGCGTTTTATTCTGAAAGAGTCGAGCTCCTACTGTCTTTCTGTGCGCAGGATTTTAATTGTATTCCCTCGGTCGCCTGTGAGTGTGTATTTCTGCGTGTGTATATGTGTGCAGCGCTCTGCCACGTGAAGCATATTTCAGCCCTCTAAATGTGGTTCTCATTACACAGCAGAGCATTTAGCCAACACTCACTGTTTCTCCCTCTCTGACTCTCTCTCTCTCTCTCTCTCTCAGCAGTAACCTCTAACACACACACACACATCCACGTAGACTCACACAGTGTTTCGACCACGTTCACTTTCTCCCCTCAATGTTTCCACTGAGTGTGTTTTTTGTTTTTGTGAATGGTAGCTAAAACCGAGTCTCTCAAACATGCAGCCGTCGCTGAGATGATTTCTCTTGTGCAGTTTTTCTCAGATACTTTATCGTCTGTGTTTGTGGTTTTTGGTTTTCGCACAAATGTCTTTCCTACTGTGTGTCAATGTGCTGCTTGTCAACAAACACTGAACATCCTGCGTGAAGCGGAGGGATGCTGCTGGTTTCACACAGTCACACTCTTACACTGACGCCTCTTCATGACCTACATCAGGACTCATATGGACACCATCTATAATTACAACTTCAGGGCCCTGTATACTGGATTTAAGGCCTGTGGTACAAAGAGAATAGTCTTAGCAATAGGGCTAGGTGATATGGCCTCAAATCAATATCATGATATATTGATCAGTTCACCTTCGATAATGATAAATGGACGATAACTCCTCCACAAGCTGCTCACCCCCTCCCACATTAACTTCGTCTACTTCAGTCGTCGGTTATTGTCGTAAATTTCTGTATTGGTTTATTTTCGGTTTATCGGCCAGCCCTACTTAGCAAAACTGATTATTTCTTTACCCTGAATTGCAGTGCCTGTGTTCAGGTTGTTTTATAGTTACAGCAGGTAAAAGAGCAAAAAGACTTGATTGCTGTTTGGTACGGTGGCCCTGAAGGTCAATGGCACAAATATTTCTAGAAGTGGACAAAAAAAACTCGTACATCACAAATTAAATTTTAGAATGAGATCAACAATTTTGTGATTTTTTTTGTTGCCTCCTTGAAAATCTGACCCCTTGACCTTCAGGGACACCGTAGTCTGAGGGTAGAGAGTTCGTCTTGTTGCTACCCCATCCATCCCGGAAACCGGATTTGTACTGCACATGTGCGAAACATACGTCACTTCCTCTCCTTGTATTTCAATGCATTTTACGACAGTAAGTCGTTACTATTGCTACCTACACAATACGATCCATACTGATCAAGTATGTCGTCTTAAAAACTTTATTTAAACTACTGATCGATTTCAGAAACCAGCTGGCGATGTGACAGGCTAGCTAGCAGGAGGCTCCAGGGCTAATGCCGAGGCATTCGCCAGAGCTCCTGCCCAGTACGGTGAGACATTTTGCCACAGACAGTGCCGCCACCCGGTCAAAAATCATGGTACTTGACTTTTCAAAGTATCAAGGAGGGATTCATTTTGTTTATTTTATAAATTAAATTAATTAACAAGAAACCTACACATTATGGCCAATAAAGTTCAGTGTTTTTATACAGCGTTTCAATTCCAACAATGAAATATTCACATTTATTCAAGCCTTTTATAACTACGTGCAATTCTACAATTTAGCTGTAATAGGAACCTTTAATCATGAAAATGGGCGCCATTCTCTTGACTTCCTGGCGCTCTGCTTTAGCCAGGTGACGCACTACGTTCAGGAGAGAAGAAAAGCGTGTAGCTGGTGGTCCATTCTGACTGAAGCGATTTCACTGATGCTGAAACCGTCGTACAAGTGTCGAAGCTTTCGCAAACTGCGAGGGGCAAAGAATCGCTGAGCCGTCGCAAAGATGGTTAGGAGAGGAAGTGACATAAGTTTAGAAATCAGCTTCCCGGGTATCGACATGTCTGTTTACATTATTTAGACATTTACTGTGACACTGCATCACTCGTCTTGTGTTAACTCCATGCTGACTCTATCGTCCAATCAGAGGCTGTCTCCATGACTTTTTTTTAAACGAACTGTCTGACACTCATCCATGAGGTGTTTTTCTGCAGAATGAGTGACACACGCTCAGTTTTTGTGTCTGCCTTTATGGTCGTTTTGCTATTTATAGATTCATATGACTTCGCTGCAGCCAACACGCTCTGACAATCCAGGTTGTCCTAAAAAAACGTGTGTGTGTGTGTGTGTGTGTCACCTCAACCTTGTCATGCAAAATCAAGTTCTTTACAAGGAGAACTGAAATAGGGAACAATAGCTGAGAGCTGAGGGGGTTGAGTGAGGTGATGGAGGGAAAAACGGTGAAATATCCCTTTAAATGTTAAATATAACTCTGTCTGTCCTCACAGGGTAACCAGGACACACCGGCCCCCCCGGATCCATCCATGGCCCAGGCTTACCCGTCAGCCCAGTTCGCCCCCCCTCCCCAGAACGGCATCCCAGCTGAGTTCACAGCCTCACACCCTCACCCACATCCACACTCCCACCCACACCCACACCAGCACCCGGCAGCCCCCCAGGACTACAGCGGGGTCCCAGCCTCTGTCAGCGAGCACCCCCTCAACATGTACCAGTCCTCACAGAGCCACAGCGAGCCAGGGGGGTCCGAGTCAGGGGCGCAGACGGTCACCGGAACAGCCACAGTAAGGCATCATGGGATTTAGAGTGAAAACATGAAACGACACAGAGACTGATTTAACCCTTTAACCCCCGCTCTCTGTAGAGATCCAGTATTTCACACATTTATTAGATTTTACCTCCAGACATGAAATTAAAGCATCACCACAGAGTCCCTCAGATCGTATATCAGTGCGGTGAAATCATGTGAGGAAGTCTTCTCTGTGTTTCAGGAGCTTTTATTTACACTATATTGGCCTTCGAGGTCTGCAGACTTCAAGAACTAAACTGGATCATTATAATCCTTTTAGGTCCAAGTCTGTATCCTGATTTTTTTATGGTCTGATTTATTCTGAACTGAGAAAAAAAGTTCAAATCAGTCAGAAATTTTGACTTTAATCCTAGAATTTAAGAAGTAAAGTCAGATTTTTGGATTAAATTCATCAAAAATCTGACAAACCTGTTCTCCTAAACTCCGTCTTTAAGCTCTTCATCCCTCAGGACTGTTTGTGTCTCTACCTGGAAAATGTTCCCTATAAAATAACTCCCTCCTTCGACTCTCAGTTCCCTAATATCCCCCTGACTGTGTATTTGTTAAACCTGCGACTATAAAAACAGACGTACAGTGTTATTCTCGGTGATATCTGATTATCACCGCGACACTTTGGGCTCCCAGAAGACAATCAGCAGAGATCTCCGGGGCGTTTTCTGACTCACGCTTTCTAATAGAATTCCGACCATTTTTAATGCTGCAGCCTCCAAACTCCTGCTCCTCATTTGTTCTCTGCTTTATAACTCTGTTTGTTTTCATAAATATGGATGAAGCCACTGGCCTAAAGTGTCATAAAGACGGGGGTTATTTTGCATAGTAATAATGTCTTCTCTCAGCACGGCGAAAAAAAAGAAAAAAAAAAAGGCTTTGTTTTCGTTTTCCTTCTCGGCTGGACTTGAAACTTAATTCACACGATAAATATTTATCCGAGGCAAAGATTGAGGCTGAGCGAGGAAAGAGCAGCACAACAACACGACGGTTTGACAAAACCCCGCTGACAGAAATCCTCCTTTATAACTCAGAGGAGGAGTAAAATGTACCTACGCTCTGGTTACATTTTTTGAAAACAATAAATGTTCATATGTGTTAATAAGTTTTTATCAAGACCATCAGCGACAACTTTAAAACCTAAAAACTTCTGTAACGGGGCGCTCAGAAGAATCATCTACTCGCTTAGTTTGCGCGAATCTAGATGTGTGAATGAAAAGTATTTACTCGCTTCATTTGCGCCGTTTAATCTAATTTCAACAGTAATCCCTGCCAATCCAACAGGCGGGATCAAACGATAGACAGAGGTCTTTAACAGTTTACCAGGTAATCCGACCTCCTCACTCACTCACTTTTCTCCAGGCGAATTGAAAGAAAAGATAATTGAAAGAAAAACACGATCAGTTTGTCCTCCATTTTAGATACCCATGAACAACCGTTCGTTTTCATATGTCACGCGGCAACTTTCATGCTGATTGGTCATCTGAAAATCCGCTCAAGTTGAGACATTTTCATCTCCCGCCCAATTCGCGTCATTCGCGCTGCCCAAGTAGTACGAGCGTCTAATCGTTTTTGTATTTCATTCGCGCGAATGATTTTATTCGTGCTCGGTGTGGCAGAGTTTAAATGTTAATTTAGCACCAAGAAATTCTGTTAAAATGTTTAAATTGTTGTCATGTGACGGTAATCTATCAAAAATGAAATTGACAATTCTACATCCAACATATTTTAATGTAATATTTAAGGATGTTTTTTTTATTTTTGTCATACCAGGAACAAAATCAGATTCTCAGCTCCCAGTTTAAGAAAATCAAACATGACTTTTACAGAATTAAAGTCTGAGGAGAAAAAAATAAGCTCTGTGCAACCTAACTTTTCTAACGTCCTCATCTGGGTTGATAAAATCAGCATTAATGAAAAAATCCGTCAGTGTTCTTTAAATCACGAAAAATCACTTAGGTTAATTCAGTGAGTATATTGAGTTTACCAGTTTGGTTGTAATTTAACATTAAAAATATGCGATTAAAGATGTGAATAAGGTTTCTATACTAGATTTAATGTGGTGCTGAGAGTTCAGAGAAGACCTGACTGCACCTGAAAGCACCACAAACACATCAACAACAACTGTTTCCAGATCCCGCTCAGAGTTTGTTTTCAGCTGTTGATAAAATCTCGTCTCGTCTTTCTAACTTCCTTAAAAGCAGCTCGCTCAGTCACTCAGTCACTCAGTCAGTCAGACGGTTTCTCTGCTGCTGTTTTTATTCTCGCAGAGGAAAGAATGAGAGGGTGAAAGAATGTTGGCAGTGAGCAGACGTCATACTGTACATCTGGAGGAATCATCAGTCCGTCTGCCGCTCTCCTCCCCCCTTCATCACCCCCTAAACTCTCTCCTCTTTCAGCCACGTCTGCTCTGTCTGCCTGCTTCACTCGCTCTACCCAACGCCAATTTATATCCGCAAAATGTCATTTACAGACTAAAATGCTCCATCATGGAGGTGCTGGTTCAGAGCTGTGGAGATGATGATCCTAAAACCCTGAAACGAGGAGCTTAAAGACTCCGAATGAGTCCGTCATTTACTTTAGAGATGAAGTCAGCAGGAGGCGAGACCCTCATCTTTGTTTCTGACTTAAAAACTCGTGACTTCTTCAAGTGGATTCACAAAAGCCTGTGAATAGAGCCGTATCCATAGCAACAGTGTGCTGCCTAGAAATAACAGACTGATGCTGCGGAATATTGGCCAATCAGGATCAAGTATTAAACACAATCATACAGTTGATTTAAGTGACATAAATGAGACGTGTTTGAGCTGTTAGCCGTCCAACTAAAAGTGAAATTTATCAAATCTTTTACAAATTTTAAACAAAACGATTTTTACAAAGTTCGATCTGTAAGACATGTTTTCTTCCTGGTCGTCCTGGATTGGAAAACCCGAACAGAAATACCGAACAAGCTCTCACTTAAACCTTTATAACGAGAAAAAAATCAAATAAATTAAGAGTTTCATCATCTCTGAGAAACAGCTGTGAAAACAGTCCGAGCATCACTTTCATTACAGCGCCGTTACAATAAAAACAGCTCACTGAGGCCAAGGGGGTCGGGTTTCTTTTAGTTCTCAAAACGCCGAACATCGTCCTGCTCATTCCTGTCCTCAGATACAAACACAATCAGACTCTAAGATCGATCTAAAGATGTATTTGTAGATTTAAGGATCATTTATTTATGCAGCTTTTATTAGATTTGGGAGTTAAGAGTTCTTCCATGGCAACAATATTCTTATTTAAGTAAAATTAGCTTTCTTTTATGTTATAAATCACATTAAACAAACTTTTTCCTTCATGAATTAGTCCAAATATTATCATTTATATATGGGGGCAGAAAGTAAGAGGTAGAAATGAACACTTTTTGAGTGTTACTTTGTGTCTGTTTTCTTCAATTTGGTTGATGTCCCGTTCTCTCAGCTCTTTTTAAACAGTTCTGCCCATTTTTACGCTGTTTTCTTCTCCATATCTTCTTTCTATGTTGTTGAAGGTCTACCATAAATCTGAAATTTTGTTCTCTTGGAAATATTGTGGATATTTAGCATCAGATAAAACCTCCTCTTTTAAGTTAGTGACACAGAAAACTAATTAAACCTGAGGAGGTCCAAACATCCTCAGACTGACTTCACATCTTTCTGCTCTTTCCCTGTCAGCCGTGTTATTTTCTGAGTTTCATTCGAACCCTGTAGGAATGACCTCATCTGGTCCGAGTGTTTATAGAGCAACGTCAGCGTCCTCCCCCCTCGCTGTGAGCCCCGCGCTGAGCGCCAGCAGAGAGGGAGAGAGACGGAGGAAAACGATTCTTACAAACTTCTATCAAACTCACTTAATTCATGTTTGTAGAAAAGTGTCTTCAGACTCAGAGAGAGTAAACGGATGATGAGTGTGAGAAAACAACAATTCAGGCTTTACTAGAAAAAAAAACATCTCCTCCTGCTGCAGCTGCAGTTTCACCCCCAATGCAGCGATTAGACGTGGAAACAGCTGATTACATATTAAAGCTCCACAAATAATGAACCCACTCATGGTCCTCAGAGAATAAACCTCAGCGAAACAGTTCAGAGAAAAGAAATGTTGTTATAGTCTGGAGGTTCATGTAGTCTTTACATATATTTGTACGTGTGTCCATGTGATCTTTGGCTTTGTCGCTGTTGACGTCGTCTTTTTCTTCAAATTTAGTTCAGTCAGAAAAATCACATTTGATCCTTTAAACTGTTTGTTACAACCGCAGCACAGTTACTGTAGATAGGGGTGTCCCGATACAGCTTTTTTACTTCTGATATGATACCGATATTGTAGCCTTCAGTATTTGCCGATACTGATATTGATCCGATATTGACACAAACTTGTGCATGACAAGTTTTTCACTCCTACTCCTTCCCACTTTGTTAATATTTTAGTACACACTGTAGTAGTGATCACGTGGGCTCTACATGCTGGATCCGGGCGCTGCTAGATAAAGTGCGGAGTGGAGTCTGGAATGGACTGAATGTATCTGAGATTTTAGATGCATACATATATAACCCTATATTAAATTTTTTGCTGATATCAGACCGAAATCCAACATCAATATGGTTTCAGGACACCCCTAACTGTAGATGCAGGGGTGACGGCGGGGCTGAAATAGTGCATGCAGGAGAAATAACAGAAAATTCTGCACCACCGCATGGGGATGATTTTGTCATGTGATAAAGTACCATGTGTTAATAAACAGAGCATGCTTCATGCTTCTGCATCAAACCTAAGCTGTATTTGAAGGGGGTCCATGTAGTCCTGGACCTGAACAGAGGCCTACATGCAAAGTCCTTTCCTCACCTCCTCAAATATGTAATTAAGCATGTAAACGATGCAGACAACAAGCCCAGTGATCGGTCGACTTCTGGTACTGGCTGTGCTGGATTTATCAGCCTGAGTTGAAACGTATCACTCTTATAAACACGGAGGTAATGTGTAGAGGAATTGGCGATATGATGAGCCTAGATATCTCACTGCTGACCGGCATTTAGGTGGAGTATTGTAGAGCGACACAAACGTTGCAACACGACATAAGAGATTTGTATCACAAACAGAGGAAGCATCCACTTCTAGGCTGACATAAACCTGCAGAGACAGAGACAGAGAAATACGCGCTCATATTTGGGGGATTAAATGTTCTTAATTCCCATCTTTCTTCCAGCAGACGTCTGTTCATCACTCGATCTGGTTCTGCCCGAGGTTTCTGCCTGTTGAAATAACAGAAAGAAGCAGAGTCTCAAACCTGCTTGTTATAAAGAGTTTCCTGATTAATCTTCATAAACTGAAGCTTTCAGTGAAACAGTTTGATTGGTTGGTTGAGTCATGGGTTTGCAGCAGATCGAATTTGAAGACAAGAAGAAGAACAGTCTGTAGAAACACGATGATAGAAACAGAGAAGATCTGTCGGAAAAGCAGATGTTTTCAGAGACATCAAACCTCCATAACTGATAAAGAGCGAGGGCGAGGACTCAGTCAGACTTCCTCTAACTCTGGCCTCACCCTCGGGGCTCTCTCCGTTTCAGCCCCTGTGCTGGCGGGGCCTAAATGTAAGAAATATATCAAGACGTTTGGCAGGAAAATCTCAAGTCAAGTCGTGTTTGTCTTCTGACTCGGAGAGTTTCTCCTCTCCTCGGTATCTGAACACGTTGTTCCAGAGAAAACACTTCCTTTGTTTATCGGCCAGCCTCTGTTTTCTGCAGGTTAAATTTTTATCCTCTCTTTCGGAGCGCCTGATGTTGGCCATCGTCTCTGTTTGATTTCTGCAGAGCGTCTGAAGCGGCTCCACGTTCAGACTCGCATTCCTCCTCGTTCTGACGCCAAGAGCGGCGAGATGAGCCGCTTTGTCTCTGCGTTTGTTTGTTTTACTTCTTTTCTGTGAGAGGAGGCGGCGGCGAGCTCCGCGCAGATGGCGGCGTGCGTGCGTGCGTGTGTGTGTGTCTTTGTACACTGCTTTCCATATGCGGCGGTGTATACCTAGGCGTTGCGGGGAAGACTTGCAGTATGTTGGCCTTATGCTGCTTCTTCTCAAACACACACACACAGAGGTTGTATTTTTAGCTGGCTTGGATCCCTCCTCGGTGTTTGAGGAACAGAAAGTGAAAACTCTGTTTCTGTTTCTGTGGTTTTAATTTCAGAGTGCAGCATGTGAGTTTTGGCAGCTCTCTTCATCTCAGGTTAAGTGTCTTTTCAACCAAAGAGTGACGCAAACCCTCTTTCTGAATAAAGTCACACAAACCGCATGAATAATAAACGCCTCGCTGTCGTGTCGGAGAGGAAAAACAGCGGCGAACATGTCTGCGTTTTTCGGACAGCGTGTTTCCTTTCCTGTTGCGCTGAAATCTTATATGTTCTCCTCCCTTGTTGCTCTATAAGAGGATTAATTAATGAAGAAGATTTGCAGCCGTAAACAAAGACATACCAACAGTTTGTTTAACACACACTCTCTTGTGTTGTGAGAGGACACAGTGGAGTCCTCTCTTGTTTAACAGCCATTGATCTCACTCACACTGAGAGCTAAAGGACAAACACAGACTGCTGCTGGTACTCTGCGTCTCTGCGTGTGTGTGTGTGTGTATGAGCATCTATTATGTCTGTGCGTGTTTGCATAATTTAACCCTTTAGACTCCTTTTTCCAACCTCCTCGATTCTAATTCATGCACCAGGATTCGGTTCTGGGTCGTTTTTGTCGTCATCATTAGGACGGCTTTGGGGCACAAACGGCCTGTAGCCGCAGTCCTTGTCACAGCGGTCATCAGATCGACTTCCAGGCCACGACCCTTTGCCGCGTGTCCCCTCACGCTCTCCGCTGCCCACGTTTCCTGTCTCTCTTCAGCTGTCCTGTCTAATAAAAGCAAAAATGCCCAAAAACAAAACTTTGAAAAAAGTCAGACGGGTGAAAGAGAAACGGCAAATGCAGGGAGGGAGAGCGGGAATGGCGTGCACCAAGGACGGGAGGGCAGTTGAGTCGATGGCACGCCCCCTGCTGTTCCAACCTCTTGGATCTACCTTAATGACCCTCTACTCTGCATGTCCTCACACTCTCTCTTTACCTGCCTTGTCCAAAAATACTTCAAAACAATGATACTAAATAGAAAAACATGCTGCAGCTCATGCACAACAGCAACAAAATCATGCAACAGCTTTTTAGACCTGCAACATATCCGAGTTTTTGCACAACAGCTTGACCGTTGCCGTGCCAGTCTGGTCTGTAACCACGAGGTAAAGGTATTTTTCATTTTGTGGCAGCAGGAAGACTCTGCAGAGATTTAGCTACGGTGCACCAAAAGGGACAAACAAGCATACAGTTTGAAAGGGTATAAATGTTGGACTTTAGATCTCCAGTAAACTCTCTAGTTTTCCTTCATCGTTGCTGCTAGTTTCTTTTTCGTACGTCTTTTATTTCTTCCTGTTTTTCCGTGTTTTCCAGCAGACAGATGATTCTGCACAGACAGACAGTCAGACATCGTCACAGACTTTACCCGAAAGCACAGACAGCAAGACCCAGCCCAAGAGACTCCACGTCTCCAACATCCCCTTCAGGTTCAGAGATCCCGACCTCAGGCAAATGTTCGGCGTAAGTACAACAACATCGACCCTTCAGTGTTTGTGTTTGTGTTTGTGTGAGAGAGAAATACAAATACTTTCTCTTAATGAGTAAAAATCACCTTCACATAATTTTTTTGTTTCTTTGCAGCAATTTGGCAAAATCTTAGACGTGGAAATCATTTTTAACGAGCGCGGCTCAAAGGTAAGAGCTTCCTGACGTTATAATTGTAGTTTTAATTCTTTATTTTGGTTGTACCGTTCTCTCCCTCAGAATTATGTTTTTAAGGACACCTAAAAAATGATCTTTTGTCTTTCACTCTGTGGTAACTTTTAGTCAACAAACTTTTCTTGGAGTCATTTCTCCCTGAAGATTCTCGAGACACATTTCCAACCAAAAAAAAACAATTTTAATTTCATGATTCAAGAACATTCGCAGCACAAACTTCAATTGTCCTTCAGCACCGAAATTCTTCTCCACCAAAACTCAACCCAAGTCCGCTCAAAGTAATCCTTGATTAACTGGACGAACCAAGGACACTTTATTGGGCTTTACAGGCTCAATTTGAATTTAGACGAATGGTGACTGATCAAGGGCGTGCGGAGGGACGGACTGAGAAAGGCCTGTTTTTAAAAGTTACCCACATCATGTTCCTCCCTTAATGATTGTTTTATGATTAATGAGAGAAAATAGGATTCTGATATTGACGGAAATGTCGCAGATTGACGGTCAAAGTTAATTGGCGCATCTTTGTTGTGCGTTTCATTAACAAACCCGAGAGTCACTCCTGATCAATACGGGTTTATTAAAACGCCCTCTTTCCAACAACATCCTTCTTCTACACTTGAGCTAAAGTCATTAAGTCTCATTCAAGCTTTCCTCCAAGATTATTTGCTGTTTTTTTTTTTTTTTTTTGCCCCTGTTATCATTATAGTTATTTTCCTTATCGTTTATGCCATAAAGAAGTTAATTTCCCTTTCAGTCTTTTGGTAGATTTAATATGCTACATTATGACTTCATCAGAAAATCTAATTGCCATACCACCCTGCAATAAGGGAACACTGCAGTACATGATTTATGTCTAACTACATTGTATGCAATTAAACCCCTGCTATTAAAGCAGGCATTTATTATTGAGGCATGTTATTAACCCTGGAGGCCTGAATATACTGAAGGATGTAGGTGATAATTTGGAGAGTACATTAAAAGGCTTCAATTCCAGTCGCTAAAATCTTTATTTTCTCTGTTTCTTGACTTCCTCACTCACTTCAGTTAATTCATATGAAATCTGTGAATGTTCATTAAAACCTTTATGGAGCGGCTATTGTCCGATCACGCCTGAGCAAACACATCATGAGACAATATAACACAATTCAATATGATAGGTTATGGCACATTATGGTGCAGAATGATAGAAAATATCCAAAAGAAACTATGAGATAAAAATAAAAATGTTATACTATATATAATTACACATAATGATACTATATGATACAACAGGTGATTTAGATCCGATCTGATTGGACCTACAGAACAATTTAAGCTGATATAATACGATGTAAATGAGTGTAAGATGGTTTGTGACAGAAAGAAACAGAATGATAGTATACTAGTCTATTCAAGATGATTAAGATGATTGATTACAAATCTTACACTTATATAGTAAAATAAAATGACACACACTGATTTGATACAGCACAATAACATATATACTCAGGTGTAAATATGACTTAACCCCAAAAAAATTCTAACAAAAGATTTCTCAGCTGTTTTTTATAGTATTAGATGTGCTTAATACCAAACTAAAAGTTTACCAAAGTTTGACCAGTAGAAAGATGTCATTTTCAAGATGGCGTCCATGATGGGTAGGAAACCCTAAAGGATGTGATATGATATATGAAGATATATGATACAATACGCAATAATACAATACTTTTTAGTAAGATACATTATATATCCATACAAGGTTGTATGAGGTGAAACAATATCTTAATGTATTGTGTTTTGTGATTCAATACAAAGTGATACAATATGATATTCAATGATTCAATACTATACAGATAAATACATAATGTAGAAAGTTGTATGAGATGGAACGATACTATACAATATGATATAATATGATACAAACTGATACAAAATGAAACAACATATTATGGTTTATTAATTAATACAATCCAAGCAGATGTGATTTGATACAATATGTAACAAATCCATACAAGGTGATATGACATGATATGATGCAATAGGACACATAACTGTACAATTTAAAACAACACAATAAAATAAGCTATAATACAGTAAGGTCAGAAATTATGCGATTTATTACGAATCAATGAAAACATTTTAATATCACACTTTATTTTACTTGTTTTTCAATGGTAGAAAAATTCTTTATTACAGTTTCCACACTAAACCAGAAGTCCGACAATACTTACAGAAAGTACAGATCAAGTATAAATGTGTGATCCCTCCATGAATTGCCCTAGATCTGATATTTTATTGGACATTGTGTAACAAAGAGTGTGTCTTTATGAGAAACAGAGTGTGATATTATCAACTGTGTTCCTGTTGACCCAAGCTTTTGTTCCCTGAAATGTCAAGTGTTATCTTTATGAAATAACGTGCATGTCCTCTCTCCGTCCTGCATGCAGGGTTTTGGGTTCGTAACGTTCGAGCATAGCGTGGACGCCGACAGGGCCAGAGAGAAATTACATGGCACCGTGGTAGAAGGCCGTAAAATAGAGGTGCATGTTCTTCAATATGTCTCCTCCCTGTCCTCTTCTGTCCTTTGTGTGTGTGTGTGTGCGTGTGTGTTCATGTATTTGTGCGTGTTTTTTGCGTGTGGATATTTGTCGAGCCACATTCCACCTTGTCATCTCGCATCAAACTGTCAAGTCATACAAGCATCATCATTTCCCTTTCCTTGTGCTGTTTTATTAACCCTAACACTAATATATCTTTCCATAAACCTACTCAGACATTACTGTATGTGAGAGACGTGTTTATTTTGGGTTGATTCAGTTTTTGTTCCTTTTTTCTGTTTTTACTTGATTCAAAAAAAAAAAGGTTTAAAAGTGGAAATCCTCTCAAATCAGCATTTCAGATATTTGTGTTGAGAAGTTTCACACTTTGATTTGAGTTTGTCTCTGAATGCTAAGAAGAAAGTTTCCCCCCTTGATAAGTCCTCTTACCTTGGACTGTTTAAGGAGAGAGAAATGCAAGGTTCACATCTGACCAGGTTTAGTGCCATGGGGGCACACAGATGCTGTGCCGAGGAACTACATGTGGACACCTCCAGTCTTGGAGCATAATTCTGACCTAACTTTGAATGTGACAAGCTCCGAGTCTTCGAACCATGAAACCGGTTTTAAATCTGTAGGTAGAGTCCATGAAACTGACGCTGAAACTGTCAGGAAGTTTTAATCGAACCTCTCGTGGTTTTGTTTCCATGTAGCCCTTCACACTAAGCATAGACTCGTAGAACAGGGTTAGATCCCTCCTCTTCCTCAGTGAAACAAATCGGATGTGGGTAAACCCGGTATGCCGTCATTATTGCGCCAGCTACAACAGATCTGGTGGGAAGTTTAAAAATCTTTCACAGAGTAGTGGACTCGTGTTCAGCTCGAGGTAGACTCCAAAGGTCTGTCTGTTTTTGGTCCCTCCCACCAGCGCCGCTCTTCCAGACCTCCCTCCATCTCCCCACCCACCTCTCCACACTTCTCTGACATTCACACAAAGGCAACCGCAACTCCCCATCCGCATCCAGGTTGTCCTTGAGAAATTATGCAAATATATTCGAAATAAAAGGACGAATTCAGAGAATATTTGTGCCTCAGATGTACAGCACCTTATGTGTTCGACATCTGAATCTGTGTTCCTCTTGTCCTTGCTTTCTTTTCTGATTTCCCCGTTCACCTCATGACACACCGGCTCCACGGCTGACCGTTCTTTACCCTCTACAGTCAGAACAGTTTATTCCCTCTTTGGATGTTAGTCTTAACTCTGATCCCAGGCTGTTCGCACCTTTATAACTCATTTACATACCACACACGACAGATGAGAAGCTGTCAGAGGGAACAGAACACACAACATAGAGGTTTGATTAAAGGGACTTGCACGGACTGCAGGACAGGACGGGTCTTCCAAAAGTTCTCAATCAACCCGAAACTGGATGATCCTAGAAACCAAATTCTTTCTACTTGAGATCAACCACAGGGATCTCTCCAAGATGATGAAACCTTTCAAGGTTGCAGGTCAAAAACAGATGAACAAACCCCCTTCAGATGTCTAACCCGCAGCTTCCACCATGTCTGGAACGGTGGCAAAAAGGTCGTATCCGCTGATCGCAGCTAAACGTTTCAAGTCAAGTTAATGCGTCAAATTCCACCGGCTTCTTTCTGTTCTGCTGACTTCGTAGCTGATTGCCCGACATCTATTTTTTCTGGATGCCACATAAATTCAGCACAGATTAGCCCATGCTGGGAAGGAAGTCGGCACAGACACAGAATAAAACATCTGGCAAACGTGGTCAGGGACAGACAAGTCAAAGGTTTTCAGACCTTATTCCATCCCGATGATACCATGGATGAGGAGATGCTGATTCTAGAAGTCTAGGGGTGGATTTCCTCTTCTGGAAGGACACGATCTACTATGGTCGATGATTATGTCAACGCAATTCCCGCTGTCCGAAATCTGCCATGAAATTTACCTCACAAACGCATCTGGTTGGAATCGGCCAATGGCAAATATTACTGCCATTCCTTAGCGGAGCTGTTCTATGGAAATTTGGTGTAGGCTTCTCACTCCCCTCCATCCGTCCGTTCATCCTCCTTCCCTTATCAGGATTATAGTCAAAGTTGCATTGAGGTATTTTGACCATCCCTCTTGAAGGCATCATTTTCTGGGGCTCAGATGATTCATCTCATCCCTCAGAGAAGTTGATGGTCTATCCCGGTAAAACCTCCCATCAAGAGGTGACCTGAAACCTCCACAAAGAAAGAGGACGGCAAATTTACCCCGAGGTCTAACTTCCCTGTACCTGATCCGTCAAACAAGCTCTGTACCTGAGTCTGATGTCCAAAGTAGAGACTGTATGGTCACACAAGGTCTAACCCAATCAGCCAGGTACTCCCTCAGAGCCCAATTAAAATGGCCTCTCTTTGGAAATATCCATGAGGGCTTTTCCAGACGTCTATTGAAGACCAGTGTTTCCACCTCCTCTAACTATCTGGCATTAGAAACTGAAAACTTTACCATCCAACCGTATCGCCATGGAGTCCCAGTTTCCAATTCCTCTGAGGCATACCCAGGAATTTCTAAACCGAATCTCCTCTCACTGCTAAATCAACAAATCTCCGCCTCTCTTGTTTGCACGTTGGGATTCAATCAGGTTTTCTCATTTTTTGGATATTTCTGCAGGACCATAAGTCCTCGAAACCATACCATAAAGTTCTTGCCCTGTTTTTGCTAAAAACTCGAGTCTCTTTGAATCAACTTTGACAAAATTACCCCCTCTGTTCGACTGTAGTTGTCTTAGGTATCTCATCTAGTGTGGAGTCTGTACGTCTTTGGTGAGGTCAAAGATACAAAGTTTGAGTGGACATCTTATCAAACCTCAGCTCCTCTCAATCTCTGTCCATTTGCATGATTTTAGACATTTATTATAGTGCCATTAAAGATCAATCAAAGCCGCCGCAGTTCTGGAGGACTCGATTTGAGGGTCAGGAGAGTTAGATGTTATCTTCAGGGTGCAGAGAAAATAGTCCGGATGGGAGAAGACAGCCTGTCCTGAGAAACGGTCAGAGTTACGCTCCAAGACGTCAGCCAGCTGATGTATAGAGAGAGCTGAAAGAGAGAGTCTGTGCAGTGGAATGATTGCAAAGTTTTCTTTGCCACCTGAGTAAGATGCTGCTTATTCCTTTCTCATCCCCTCCTCCCCCCAATATCCTTCCAACGGTAGCTTGTTTAGGGCCCCATCCAACACAGTTACAACCGTAACAGTACACAAACAAGTGGGCGGGGCCTAAAGGTTTGGGAATGGTAAGTGTGGGCGAGCAAGCCATTCTGCCAGCATTTCCTCTCTCTCCTTCTCTCTCTTTGGAACGTTTGCAACGCTGAAACTCACGTGACATTTCTTTTTGAATTGTGGTTGAGTTGATGCTGTACATGGACATACATATTTTCTTGCGTGTTGGCGTGCGTGTCCATTCACTAAGTGTTCTCCTGAAGCTGCGTGTGCGGGATACTGACTATGATATGAATTCGTTTGCACATCTATCTAAGATTGTTGGAAACCCATTTCTTAATTTGTTTTTTATTTATGATTTGAAGACAATGCACCCTTCTTTTGATTCACCCTGAGAGCTACTTTTTGGATTTGGAATGACATGATTGGTTGATTGACTGACTTGGTTGGTTTATTTGAGTATTTCTATTTCATTTTTTGATCTTTTTTTTTAATTATCCTTGCGATGAATTCGAGAGGCTGTTGTCTGAGTGTGAATGCCTTGTGTTGCTTTTGTCACAACAGTTCTTCTCACGTTTTTTAAGGTTGACTTGATGTTGCATAATGCTCCCAACATCTTCTCCCCTTCCCCAATGACATTTTCTTTGTTGTTTTTTCCTCCTTCTTCTCCTCCCCACCGCATGTATCTACACATTTACAAAAACATCACTTTGCCGAGTGCATCTGTTGTTTCTTTTGTCTGTGCGTTATTGAAATGTCACAATAATTGGGGAGAGCATGCCGTGAAAAAAAAAAAAAAAAAAAACTCATAAGATGGAAAATATGCAAATGAGAAAGAAAACTGATTTGTTTCGGATGTGTTTTTAAGTGTTTCTGAATGCAATTTTGAAAACACACAAACAACATGGATGTTTGCCATGATACAGTGTACTGCTTTCTTTGTTTACAACCTGAGGAAACTATGCATGCAGACTTACTGTAACTAATGAAGCGTCTCCTGCTAAAGCGTCACGATCATTACTCATGCGTGTGTCTTTATCTGCTGTAGGTCAACAATGCAACAGCCCGAGTAATGACAAATAAGAAGACTGTCAACCCATATGCAAATGGTAAGATCAAGTCCATGTCTGCAGGAGACTATTGACAGAAATATGGAATTAAATGGATTTATTGATGAACTTTGACATGAAGATCTGGGATACATATCTGTAGATCTACTTAGCCATGCATCACATGTCTAACTGCATGCACACTACAAAGCTCAGGGCTTATGCAAATTCCAGATTTGCAGGATGCAAACAAGAGACATTGCAGAACTGTCGAGAAAACCCTGGTTGTCGTCTCTGAGATGTCGCACAATAATGGTGAGCTGGCACAGCCTAATGGGGCGCTCACACCAAGCGCGAGTAAAATTATCTACTCGCTTAATTGGCGCGAATCTAGACACGTGGATCAATAGTATTTACTTGCTTCATTCGTGCGTCAAATCTGAATAAAATAAGTGGATAGCCATTTTTAGCCGTTTATGCTAATTTCAACAGTAATCGCTGCCAATTCAACTGGCAGGATCAAGTGCGAGACAAAGGTTTTTTTACAACTAACCGGACCAACTGCAACAACTTTGTAAATTTACTGTAAACTTTAAAACCTAAAAACACCAACACCAAGCGCAAGTAAAATTATCTACTCACTTAATTCGTGCCATTTCATGAATATCTACTCAAGTTGAGACATTTTTAGCTCCTACCGAATTCCCATCATTCGCGCCACCAGAGTAGAACAATGGTCTTATCGCATCTTTGCATTGACTTAACATGCCTTTCTTTTGCGCGAACGATTTGAGTCGCACTTGGTATGTGGAGGCAGTAACGAAGCTGAGGCATCAGAATCTCTGTATTGTCATTGTGTGACTTGAAGTCCAGTCAGCTTTCTATTCCTGCAAAACTCGCCAACAAAGAAATGAGCTTTTTGCTCCAAGGTGTAATCCTGTTTATATTTACTGCACACATTTAGCATTTTACAACAGGTGTGTATGTGACTTCTGGTGCTTTTCAAACCAGCCCCAAGTGGACACTTGAGGAACTGCAGATTTTAGCATCTAGCACTTAACACATTGGCTTGCTAGAGCTTGCCACTTTAGTCAAACCCTAATCTTGGGTCTCACTCAAATCCCTTTTCTCTCACACTGCCCCCTACTGTTCATGGGCATACTGCATTTTGCAAATGCTTCAGCTTTACACCCATTTTTTTACATCATGCACAATCAGATGTAGTGTACAGATACAAACCATCATGCAGATGATAATACTTAATATAAGGCGAGTTTATCTTGACGAAGAGAGGTGGCAATCCGAAGCAAGAATGACCTTCCTAACAAATGCATCATGGTTCAAAGATCTTGATTTGAGTTCCCCATGAAACACAGGAAGTGTTTGAGTCCTTTTTTTCCTTGTGTCTTGTATTAATTATCACTAATGCGACAGTTTTTGCCAGTGCAAGTCAGGAGACGGATTAATTTGCATGTCCGAGTGACTGAGCATCTCTAAAATCCCAGATAATTCTCTCGTTAAGAACGTCGCTCTTTCTTTCCTGCTCCAGCGTTGACATCACGTCATCATCGACCACATCTCAGGTTTCTTCGGTAACCCAAACAGATCCGGAGACGTCTTTATTGACAGCCGCTTCCCTTGTTAAAGCAGAAAAAAAATTTAAAAAATGGAGCCACTCGAAGGTTTGGGGACGGGATTAAAAATGGAGACATCATCTCCTTGTGCCAGAGTCAGATAGATTTTGACAGGAAATGGCTACAAGGCAGCGAGCGCGGGTCAGATCGACAACAGTGTCAGGCTCGATAATGAAGTGTTGAAAAAATCCAGTCAGGCAGTCCAGTCGGATTATCAGGCTGGGTTCAACACGCTCCACCATCGTCGTGTCCTGTGTTTTGGATCTTCATCTTGACTGACTGACTGGTTTAGTTTGATGTTAACTTTTAGGAGTGTTCTTGGAGGGAGTCTGAGAATTAACAATGTGAACATCGACAACTGATGAGACTTTAAAACGTCTACGATTATAGCCAAATACAGAACGGTAAAGGCTGCAGAAGAAACTGAGAAAGTGGGTTCATGTGTGACTGTTGGCTGCAGACACTGAGCTTCAAAGCTTGTGCGTGCATAATAGAAAATAAAGGTGTTTAACTCATGCAATACTTCAGCTCTTATGGGGTGTTTTCATAGGATGGAGAAGGGATGAAACAGTCGTGGATGACCAAGGTGCATGTAGCTGCAGACTGATTAAAGTGGTCCAGCTGACCCCTGTCCACCACAAACAGCTCCTACAATAGACACACGAGTCCCAGAACTGTACCGTAGAGCGATGGTGAAGGTGGCTTGTAGGGTTGGGCAACATTTTAATTTTGAACGAATACGGTTCCAAATCCGATTCCAATTCCTCGCTTCGATTCCGGTTCCCAACGGTTCTCCATTTCGGTTCTTTTAAAAGGCAGGATATAAGAATTAATTATTAAAAATTAATGGTTTAAATGAGGGCGCTAACCAGAGTTCTTCTTTTTGGATGAAATCTCTGAACTTCTCCATGAATTTTTAAGAACTTTACTATGAATTTCTCTCAGGGTTATTTTCAAACAGAATATAAATATCAGTTTTTGTCATCAGATCATTTGTCTGTGAAAAAGTACACGGGCTAACGTTAGTTGGATATTTAAGTTGACCCACCGTACACGGTACAATTTGTTTGCCGCTTTAATGTTCGCAGAAGACAGAAGTCATTTATTGTTTGACTTTTCTGATTCTGGCTGGTTAGCAGAAGACCGGCGAAACGTGTCAGAGACAGAGTGCTCGGGTATTTCTCCTCCATGAATCCTGAGGTGTTTAATCATGTCGGTCGTTCACCCTCCTTTACATGATATAACTGTGTTGCTAATGTTGCACTGAGATAAGAGTTCATTCTTCCTGATAAAATTAGACAAACTTTTGACCGCCACTACGGCACTCTCTCTACATCTCTCTTCTCTCTCTGTGTGGCTTTGTCTCATACGCTTCATCCTTGTTGGTGTTCAGCAGGTATTTCTTCCGACATCAAAACTTGGAATCGAAATTTTAAAATTAGAACGGTTCTGGGAGAATGTTAGTCCCGGTCCCCATCGATGCACGAGACTCGATGCTCAACCCTAGTGGCTTGGTCCCTAAACTTCCAACCAGGCAGTTTCCAAAAACTTAATCTGCCTGTTTTAACTCTCTGGGTGTCTTCCTTCAGGTCCTCTGATCACATCTATGCCTCTATTGTTGTTTTTTTCACCTGTTTCTCTCTGTTTCGTCTCTTTTCAGGCTGGAAGTTGAATCCAGTGGTCAGCGCTGTCTACAGCCCCGAGTTCTATGCAGGTAGGACGACTCGCCCTTCTCCATCTGTCACCATCTCCATTGTCCTTATCTTCCTCCTCCTCCAATCCTTTTGTTCTTCACTTTCTTCGACATCTTCATTTTCTCCCAACCCCCACTTTTCCGTAACCTCTGTCACCCCTCCCTCCTCTGCTTTCTCTCTGAGCAACATGCAACCAGGCAGAGTCTGTTTTTAGCCTCAGAACTCTGCTGAGTCGCTCGAACGCGGCGTCAGGCTGTCAGATCTGCTGAAAAACAAACATCCCGCAACACAAGAGACATCTTCAATCTCGCCAGATCTCACCCCTGCCTCCCCCTAACCGTCACCCATTCCCCGCCCTGTCATTAACCGTGGCCATTAAGGTGAAAAATACCTGGATTTTGAGATAAGAGACAGATAAAGAGTGTGACAGAGGAGAGAAGGAGTGAAGGAAAGTGGAGGACAGGAGAGAAGGAAATCTAATTGTCCATTTCTGCAAGGGCATTAAAAGGTATGAAACATATTTTGTAAATTAAAATCAATATTTTCAATTTCTCCAGACAGTCGTTTACCTAATTCACCCCCACATTATTTTAATTACAGAATGGTTTTCTATTGATTTACCTTTGTTTCACCTTTCAAGTACCCAAACCGCTATGTGTGTTCGGAGTGTTTATGAGGAGTCGCCGGCGTCTTCGGGCCTCGTCTTCTTCATTAGTAATTAGCGCTGTTATGATTTTATCAGGTCATAACTGCGGACCTTCAGGGTGGAGGCCGGGAACATTTCTTAGGGTTAATTAGTTCTGATTTTTTTAAGAAGCAGAGAGGATTAAGAAGAAGAAGAAGAAGAAGAAGAAGACACAAAACTCTACAGTAATTAACAAACAAAAGAGTTTAGATGAATTTTATTAACTCTACGATCAAAACGTCATGATTATTTCAACTTGGAAACGCAGAAATGTCCAATTAGAGGAGTGGGAACTGTTGATTGTGTAAATTATGTTTATACTTCTTCATGTGTTGCTTTTTAGAGTCCAATCATTGCTTTTTAGTTTAGTTTACAGTAGTTTCCTGTGAGCTGGAGAGATAGACGAGGGCTTGAAGACCGCTTACATCCACAAAAGTACAGTTTTGTTGGAGTATACATAATTTTGTCAATAGAGAGGCACTTTCAACCAAAACCTTCGTAGAAACTCCCCATCTAGGGTGACTTTTAATACTATTTCAGTGTGGAGTTCCTCAGGGCTCCATTCTTGGTCCTCTTCTATTTAACATATATCTATGCAGACGACACACAGATCTATACCAGGACACTGGACCTTAGAGGAGGAGCTGGGGATCAGAAGTCAGGGTGTGCTCCCGGACTAAGACCTGAAATTTACAAACCACATTGAGACGCTCACAAAGCCATCCTATAATCACCGAAGAAAATTTTATAATAATAATAACTTTATTTATTTTTAAAAACAAGAGTTTACAAAGTGCTTTAACATGCAGGAAAACAAAGAAGATAAAACAACAGAACAACAACAAGAGCCTAAACAAGACTAAAACCCAGACTACATGTCCTGATGTGACACTGTTGGCAATAAAGAAATAAGATAAAATATAATAAAAATGAATGTCACATGAGCTGAGACGTCATTAAAATGAAGATATTAAAACAAAGACATCATAAGAACGTGTGATACCGGGTCAACACAGGAACCCAACCACAAAAACCTGAGACCAAGGAGACGATTATAAAACATGAATAAGAAGAATAAAGGTTTTAAGACGACAAAATCACATAAAAGCAAGTCTATAAAAATGACTTTTAAGAAGTGATTTAAAAGTAGCAAAGATTGACAAACTTAAAAAACTGGTCTAAGCTCTTATTTTTGACTTGACCACTTGGATAGTTCATGTGTTTACACAGTGAAGCTCGATCAGGCCCTTTAACTGGACGTTTGTCCTTTTCCAAATGTAAAGAAACCAAGTAAGAATCAAGACCTCTACGATACGCCTCCTTTCAGCTGTTAAATGTTGGACTTCTCCGGTTTACCCGATAAATCTTTAACCAAAACAATCGACAAACAAGTTAGCAAGACGCTAACTGGTCGTTTACTCTCACAGCTCCTTATCTTTTGTTCTTATCAGGCCGATTCACGACAAATGTGGACTGTACTGTATGTGACAAAAGCCCAACATCAAGATAAGATAGAGTTTAATCATTTAGATCAGGCCCGCTCTAATCTCCTCCTAATCCACCTGACTTCAGGAAATTAATCATGGTGCGTTTTCAGAGTTTTTCAAGTCCAACTTTATTTACTGAGTGTCTGTTTTTAAACAAATCAATCAGCTGATTCATACGTCCTCACTATGACCAAGAAAGTGGACCACATCAGTCCAGGTCTGAGGTCTTTACAGCGGCTCCTTGTGTGTCAGAAAATAGATGTTAAAGCACTGCTGCTGTTTTATAACAGACGGACGATGTTGTAAAGTCTGCGTTCATTTTTAGATCATCTATAGTTCAGAACAAAACTGCAGATTTTTGATTTATATTTGGGGAAATAAAAGCTCAATAAAGAGACGGAGATACAACCAGACGCTCTAAAGCTCGACGAAAGTCCTTTTCAAAGTCCTCGGGAGTTCTCCCTCCTCTTCAGATCACCTGTATCTCCATCAGATCAGAGTCAGTGCTGAGGAGAGTCATCAGACCGACTCGGAGGTCTGCCCGGCCGCTCACTCCTAAAATCAAGGTGACAAAAGATGAATAGGAACAATTACCGGCCTCACTCCTCTCCTTGTCTCTCTTTGAGAAACTCTTATCCTTTGGCTCAAACCTTCCATTTTTCATCAGGTCAATGAATGATTCACTGTTTCTATTAGCATTTTATTAGATCTCCTTTTTGAAGAGATGTATAATTAGGGCTGGAAATGGCACCTCGATCTCCTTCTCAACCTTCACTCACCCTCGCTCTCAAATTAAGCTTTGTGTCAGTCGTCCCCATTAAGATTAATGATAAGTTAATAACAAAAGCACTGCAATAGCTCACTCCACTCCCACTCTCTCTCTCTCTCTCTCTCTTTAGTCTCTTTCTCTTCACATGAAACTGGAACACTTCACACATTCTCTCCGGCAATCAAAAGCTAATGTCAAATACAGGTGTCCGGCTTTATGCACTCCACTCTACTTCAGCGCTCTGCCGGTTTAGTCTCGGGAACACCAGGCAGAGATGAACTTAAAGGTGGAGTAGGCAGGATTCTGTTAGAGAGGCAGCTTATTGTGTGGTGTATAAACAAAAAAGGGTTTAATATCAGTCAATAGATATTAGTTAATGATGACATTTGGTAATATAACGATATCCCTTTGTTCTCTTATGTCTGTGTGGTCAACATTTTAAATTTTTCTGTCTGACTGTAAACAAAGCTGTTCTCCACCTCCCCCAACCTGATTGGCTGTGAGGCAGACGCTGCTCCCTCCTCTTGTGAGGCACGCTCCACATCCTCCAATAACGTTTAGGAGCCCAAACAAAGTTAGCGTGCTACAATATCGAACAGTAGAAACCAACCAGAAAGTTCGGAAAACACAAACAAGAAAACAAAGTAAATACCGGAGACTCTGGAGGAATAACGGGCGCTTAAAAAGGAGATAGACCGGACAAGAGCTGGGGGACGCTTTGGGATCTTCGTGGCCCTGTAACCGCTTTAACAAAGTAAGCCAAGTGTCTGTTACTCGCTAAACCCACAGGATCCAGAACGGCTCCGCTCTGTTCCTGACTGGCAGGCGAATCAGATCCGCGAGCCTAGAGTGCCCACCGGATCCGATCCGCTGCCGCCGTCAGAGGAGAAGCGCTCGTGAGATTAACGACATTTCTTGCGAGACTGGCCGAGATCTCACGAGCTGTCATGGGTTTTCTAGGGAGTCTTAGAATGAGATCCGCCGATCGGTGTACATAAATACCCACATCCCACAACCCTAACCTCTCCTATTATCAAGTTAAGAACATTTCAAGTATTGACTTTATTTTATTGTGAAAATTAACCGAGTATTTTACTCTGTTACCAAGTACAACTTCCGCTGCTGCTCATGCTGCGCTGCACTGAATTGATGCGCCGTGCTCTGGCATCCGACAAAAATGGATGCCCTGCGTATCTGATCCGGCCACCAAAGCCGATCTGCAGCAGAGCCAAACGCCGGACAGATTCTGTGTATTCAAACGGACCTGCTGTAGCGTGTTGTAGCGCCATCGCTAAACTGTCCTCCCTCGGGTCCTGGACTATGTCACTTTATCCTCGTTGTAGAAGTCCTGCAAACATTGTGTTTGCTGGTAGTCTGTTGGCATCTACAGTAGCACCAATGCTTTTGACTTTCACCTTGACTGGGCCCCATTTGTAATGATCTGAAGTATTTATCTGCATTATATCTGAATTTAATTGGAACGATACGAGCGAGCAGGAGCGTCTGTTTGTGGGCGGGGCTTGTTGGAGAGGAGAAGCTGAGGGGAAAACTGGTTGGGAGGGGTAGAGTTTACATTTAAGATTTCTCCTAAAAACTGGAACTAACTCAGATCCTGCCTACCCCACCTTTAATAAAGCTTTATTTGCACAATATTCCCCAAAAACAAGTGTAACCTGCTTAGTGTGAGTTTTAGACGCTCAGTCGTTCTTCCTGATGACCCTTCACTTCCTGTCCTGTGTCTCCAGTTCCAGGTTTTCCATACCCAGCAGCCAGTGCAGCAGCAGCGTACAGAGGAACCCACCTACGAGGTCGAGGACGGACCGTCTACAACACGTTCAGGGCAGCCGCCCCGCCGCCCCACATCCCGGCGTACGGAGGGTGAGCTCCACATCTTCTTCTTCTTCTTCTCTCCTCCTTTAAACACGGTCCTGAATCTGTGCGCTCAGGTAGCGGAGTGCTGCATGCCGGCCTCACCTCACAGCGATAACACACTCCTCACCCCCACAGCATGCTCGACCAATCAGAAGGCATGCTCCGTGACATGTGCCTCTGCAATGACTCATGGGAAATGACCGTCAATCTGGCCTTGTACTGTGGTGTCACTGAGCGGGGCTGTGTTCATGGTGGGATGGGAGGTCCTCCACGAAAAACTAGAACTGGGATCAAACCAGGACCCAGAAATTAATGAACAGTGAAGCAAAAACAGGAAGATCAGGAGGTTATTTTAGAAGATCATCTGAACTGATCGCAAATGAACGAGAAACTTAGCTTGTTTCATGAGACAGGAGCAGTAGAGCTGCGTTCATTTCTAACATGCCGATCATTTTAAACTTGCATCTCTTTGTCCTGCCGTCAGCTGCAGGAGAACGACAAATCTCAAATTTGAGGAAATGTGCAAACTTGTGGAAAAATCTGCATTAACATTTCATGATGTAAAAAAATTTCATTTTTTTTCTCTGTAATAATCAGAGTTTTTAAAAACACATCATCCTCTCTGCAGAGGAAGTGTCCGGCCCTCTTCCTCCGTGTCAGCGTGTTACTTACTGACGCCAAAAAAACACACCATCCATCCAGCCGGAGCGGCGGCAGTCGTGTGGGTACTTTCTGTTCGAGTGGTGAATATTATCTTGACCCTTTAAGAGCGAAGTCGCTGTTAGTATCTCCGGCAGCAGAGAGCCAATCAGGCGGGGTGAGGAGGGTGTTTGGGCGCCACTCCTGCGTGGTCCTGTCAGAGAGATTTGTGCCACAGATTGTACTTTCATTAACGCTGCTGTGGCGTTTAATTGCCCCGGTGGCAGTCTGATGGTGAATTATTAATGTTGGTCCTGATGTATTTTTATTAAAACTGTCTCGAGTGGTGACGAGCCAACTTTAAAATAAGTCTGTGTGTGTGTGAGTGTGTGTGTGTGTGTTCATATAACTCCCCTCCTCATGTGTGTGTCGGCGGTCTATAGTATCAATAAGTCTAAATGTTCACTTAGCTTTGCTGCAGTCCCTCAGAGAACCTTTTAATGAATCAAACTGCTCTCTGGGCCAGCGTGACATTTGAGGAGATATTGATTATCAGAGATAACACAGACGGTGTGAAGTCGGTCTATTGGCAGGTGAAATTGAAGCTCGGCCCTCTGCGGAGCTCTTCCTGTTAAATGGAACTCCATCCTGCTCGTTTTTATTGGACGCCAGATAAGGAATGCTTATCTTTCTCACGTGCACAAACATGCATGCAGTGTGCACGGAGAGGGAGATGTTTGATCTCTGCATGAAATCTCATGAATCTCTTTTTAATCTCCTATGAAAGGCCTGTGTGTCCGCGGTCATACAGGGCTTTCATATCTGTAGACAAGGAAACTCTCAGCAGATCAGAGTCGTGCACGGATTCGTAACCCTTTAAAATAAGAACAAGAACTGAACATCGAAGCAAGAGAACAAAGTTTAGGACAAAAGACACAAACTGAAGAAGAAGAAAAATGACCTGAAGTTTGAATTAAAGCTTTAAAAAGCGTCAAAGAGGTCCTCACTTTGGTGCACAGATAAAAACAGACGTAAACCTGCAGTGAAGACGAGTCGAAGCTTTAACCTCCTGGACTCCTGTCAGTCAAACTAGCCACACCCCCTTTTATGCCAGTTCTGCCGTAAAGCACCTTTATTAAAGGGTTTAATGGGTTTATTGAGGGTTAGAGACAGCCTCAAGTGGACACTCGAGGAACTGCAGTTTCAAGGCTGAAAAACTGCAGGTCAGATAAAGCTGATAAAAATTACTATTTATGTATTATTTGTTACCGAAGCGTATTGCATTCACTCACAAAAAAAAAGCTAACAGTTTTTTTGTTTTTTGTTTTTTTTATTTTTGTTGTTGTTTTTTTTCTTTCCTTTTTTTTTTTAACAATTTTTTTCTTCTTTTTTTATATACGAATATTTTTTTCCTCTCTTTCTGTTTTCAAAAATTTTATTCTGTTTTTTAAACGGTTTTATTTTTTTTCGTCTTTCTGTTTTTCAGACTGATTTTTTTCGGACAAGTTTTTATTCTGTTTTTTAAATTTTTTTATTTTTTTTTTTGGCTTTCTGTTTTTCAGACTATTTTTTATTCTCTTGTTTTTCTGATGATTTTTTTTATTCTGTTTTTTTGTAATAATGTTTTTCCCCTCTTTCTGTTTTTTGGGAAAAAAAATTATTCTGTTTTTCATACTATTTTTTTTCCATCTTTCTTTTTTTCTGACTATTTTTTTGAGAAGATGAAAAACAATTACCCTGAAAAACAGAGAAGAAACAAAAATTCGGGGAAAAAAAATAATTAAGAAACAGATTTTTTTTATATATATTTTCCAAATGTTTGAAACCTTTAATCCTCATGAAGTTCAGATATTTAGATGCAGAGAATATCAGCCCCCTGTGAGGACGCTCTAACCGGTCGTGAGTCAGATTTAAATTAAAGACGATGTCGCTCTGTGACCGATGGAGGCAAACAAGACCATCAGCAACAAACCTGACAATTTCTTTATCGAAGCTGTTATTGACAAAAGCGCTGTGAGGAAGAGGAGGTGTCAGACGAGGCGGTTAACATCACGCTGGAGACACGTTTGACTGTCAGAAGGGAAATAAAAAAAGTTATACGAACTGAGCGTTCCTCACAGAAGAGTTAAACATGTGCAGTAACAGGCTGCAGGTGAGGGAGCTGGAAAAGTCGCTGTAACTTGATTTATACAAACACACAAACAGCATCATAACTCCCATGATTGGATGTCGAGCTGCAGAATATTTCACATGATAGCAGTGAGAGTGTTTTTGGACCTTCCCAGCCTCCTTACTCAGCCGTTAGCGAGCAGAGAGGCCGCCTGCTGAGTCTCCTCTCTGCCCTCTCCGTCTCCTGATTGTGCAGACGGGTTGTTGTTAGCTCGGTGCCTGCATGTCAACATGCACTAATCTGGATGTTTTTGTTTTATTGTGTGTCTGTTTGTCTGTTTGTTTGTTTGTTTGTTTGTGTTTGCATCCTCTGCAGTGTTGTTTACCAGGATGGATTTTATGGTGCAGATATTTATGTAAGTATTATTTACTGGAATGACATTGCATGCCACACCGCCATCTCTCTGGTTTCTGCACTGATGCTGCGAACATGCAAGACCCTCCCCTCCTCCTCCTCCTCCTCCTCCTCCTGTCCCTGACACACTCATACATGACTACACAGCCTCCAGCAAAGATGGCCGCCATAAACACAGAGAGCTGCACTCAAACCAGGAGACACAGAAAGGTGCAACAACGAGGCGAAATGCCAAGATTCTGAGTCGACTCGTGACTGAATCGACGCTCAAAACTCGTCATTTATACTTTTAATCTGCTGAATATCAACGATCTTTAAAAAGTTAAACTCTTTCTAAGCACACGGAGAGAAGAAACTTTATTTATTGATGCATTTTCAAACAGAAGAAGAGGCACGCTTCAGGCGAACGGCTTCAGGGTAAAACTGGTAAAAAATGAGAATAAAGATGTCAGAACTCGCTCTGTTTTATTTCCACAGAGTCGTAACTCTCACTGAAGTTACCAGGACGCTTTTGAACTCGACTTTTGATGCATTCAAGACAAAAACAAACTTGAATTTATGTTTTTCTCTCATAGCTGCTCTGCAAAGAAAACACGCACATGTGGCTCATTATTGATGACAGCTGTGCAGCTTTTATAAACTGATATACAACTTTAAAACGACAAAAGAGGGTAAGATTTCATTAAAGATATGAGTGAGAGTGATCAGGTGAAGTCAGCGCTTATTTCTGGATGTTTTTATGCAGCTGCTCAGCATCTTTAAAAGCAACACCATAAAAATATGTTGATGCAGGATCATATTTTGCATTTCTTGAGGTTTTAACTCATAAAAATTCCCCCAAAAATAATAAGATAGCTGCAGTTAGATTGAAATAAAAAGATAATGGTGTCGGTTTTACAAACCCATGAAGTTCCATTTATCTTCTGCACTCAGGGTGTTATATTGAGCACGCAAGAAAACCTTTATTTTGCACCAAAATTGTATTTAATGGCGAGTGCAATCATTCAGATTCAGATTCAGATTCAGATTCAGATTCAGATTCAGATTCAGACGACTTTATTAAGGGCAATACCGGACATTCACAGCAGCATACGGCCCAAACATTTCCCTGTCAGCACCACAAATCAGCAATAACTCGATAATAAATACTAAATACATGTGCAATACATTCAACAGTGGAATGAGTAAAATGCAAAAGATTATAATGCGATAAAAAGGGTCAAATAAGAACTACAACAATCCTGAGACCCCAAAAAAATCCAACACAGGACACCAATCCACTACAGCCTGATCGCTGAGGGGATACATGAGTTAGAGTACCTATATGTTTTTCTAGGGGGGTCATAGTAGCGCCTTCCAGAGGGCAGAAGAGAAAAGTCTGAGAAGAGGATGTGTCCGGGCTGGTCCATGATTCCTCTCTGGACCACAGAGCTCAGTTCTATCAGCCGTACTCTGGCAATTTTGGAGCAGACTTTTACGATGAAACTGCTGCATTTGCACCTTTATATCCAAAGTGTGAACTAGATGACTTAAAACTATGAGGTATCAGCTGTAAACGTTTGATAATTGACTTGTAGGAGATATAAACTACTGCACAAGATCATACACCTTTGTGCAAAAGGACAATAACAACCTAATGTGAGCAAGATAACTTTTAAACATGATTTAAAAACTGAAGATAAATAAAATTTAGATAAAATGATCATCTTATCGAGTCTCTTTTTTGGCTTCATTGAACCGTCGCTGCAGGAATGACTAATGAGGTGAACCTGTGAGGTCAAGTTTCAAAGTGTCTTTGGAGGTGAAAACAGGCGAACGTCAAATTTTAGCTTTACAGCGTTTTCCTGCACCGTGGTAAACAAAAAAAACCTGTGCACACACACGAGAGAGGACTCAGGAAAACAGACTAATGATGCAGTGTGTGTTTGTGTGTGTGCATGCATGTGTGAGTCCAGGAGACGCTCAGGTAACTCCCTTAACAGTCAACCTGCTTACCTCCCATTAGCCTCTGTGCTCCGACACCAGGGAGCGAGTGGAGGACAGCTGCAGCCTGAATGTTCAATCCTCATTGTCAGACAGAGACGAAAACCTCGGCTGGTGGATTCATGTCGTCACTAAAGATCCACTAGATATTTTAAATAGATTATATAAATATATTTATGTATATTCAGTGATTTTACGTCACTTTAAACAGATGAACTCGGTCTTTTAGAGAGCGGGAGTCAAAGTCTGCAGCGTCTGACGGAGGAGACGGATGGACAGACTCCGCCTCTCTCTCCTTCACTGAATCAGTGAACGTGATGGATGGTAATGTGTGTGTGAGAGTGTGAGGAGTGGCTGAACCTTGACCACATGCACACACACACACACCTTATCCTCCATTACACACACACACACACACAGTCATTAGTCACTCAGTCAGCGCTGACAGTCCACAGAAGCTTCCCGTCCCGCCCATCATCACACACACTCAGCATCACTTCCTCCGATCCTTTCTTCTGAGAGGTAATAATACATCAATCATGTCCACACACACACACACACACACACACACAGACACACACACCTGCACAGTATGAGGGAACCCTCATGTGTGTTACAGAGCTGAGGAGTTCATATCTGTTTGGACCGTTTGTGTAATTTGCAGACGGTCCCTGCACACTGGAGGACTCCCTTCAGAGGAAACTAAATCAGAGGCGGTGTTACAGATGGTGGAGGACTCTTTTTTTAAAGACAGGTGGTGCAGTTTGTGTTTGAAGGAAGGCTTTCACCACCTGACGCTGCTGCCCACACGGTTCTCTGAAAAACTGATGAATTCAAGCTCGGCCTGTTTCTGTACGAGTGTTTGACACAGAGAGTAAATGAGTCTTCACAGGTGACTTCTTATATCTTTAATATTTTAGGAGGATTAATCAGTGTAGATGACAAAATCTGTGCAACATAAAAATCTGTCTGAGAGGAATGTGAACAAAAACAAAACGAAACATGACCGCACAATAAAATAAGAGTCAGGATAAAACAGACTGAACGTCTAAACTTCACGTTAACTCACCTCCAACTTTAGTGATGATATTATAAACACAAGAATCACAAGAACAGGGTCTAAAGTGACAAAAAAAGAGCGTCAAAAATCTGGTTTTAAAGCTGCAGGTCAGTGATCAATGAGCTTTATTCGCAGAGTTTGGGGTGAAAATGTGTCGATAAATAACTGATCTGAATTTAGTTTTTAAGCACTAAAAACTCGTCTAATCCTGTGAACATCTGCACCAACTTTTAGAGCTGATTGCACCTCTTCACTTCTGCTGCAGATAGAAGTTTGCAGACGTTCGTCTTGTGTTTTGGTGACTTTGGTTGCGTGTTGTCCACAAACTTCGACTGAGACAGAACACGGTATTTCTCTAACGAACAAATCCAAACTGTAGAAAATAACAAAAGTGCAGCTTCTGTGTTTGCTCTCTTCAAAAACAGCTGCTTGTGTCCGTATTTGTGAAAACATGAACACATGAATCTCCTTCGCTTGCTTCCTGTCCTCGTGTGTTTGTGTGTTTGCATGTTTGCATGTTTTCAGTGTAACACCTGGAGGAAAATACACTTTATTCTCTGTTCTCTGTCTTCTATTCAGACGTTGAGGCGCCTGATTTGAGCTCATTTATTTGACGTTTCCTTGTTTTTACGTCACGGCGCTCTGATCTTAAACACTCGTCTTCGTCTTCCTGAACGCCAACCTCCTCCCCCTCCTCGATTACCTTATTATCAAACTGACCTGAGATCAGCCGGTCAGCTCCCAGCGAGCCTCGGCTTCATGCAGGGGATTCTGGGAGATAATTGGTTTATTTCTGCAGGTCTGACGCTAACGTAGGGAACACTGAGGTCACGCTCGTATTGTGTTTTTAACAATCAGCTTTTTGAATGAAATAACATGTTAGATTATCACCATGACTTTAGATAATAATGTCGTTTGTGGTTTTGAATCAGAGTCGACGTCTGAAATCTCTGGACTGATCGATGAGCTGCACGTTTAGAAACATTTCCCACAGATTCGTGCATCTCTGGACCTTTTTGTTCACTTTTTGTTGCTTTTGCATGAAATATCTGTGTTTGTGGATTTGCTCATGCTTTGCTTTCCATTGATTTATCATCCTGCATGTTGATTCTGCATCTACTTTGGGAAACCGAACGCTAAAAATACCGAGCATTTACGCTGCCAAGCTTGAAAATCAATGTGGACCCATCTCAGTGTTTAAATACCAGAATTATAAACCTGTTTTCATCCAAACTGACGCTCTAAACTCATCTTTTTTCGCAGGGTGGTTACGCTGCCTACAGATATGCCCAGCCTACTGCTGCCACAGCTGCTGCATACAGTGACAGGTGAGACATGAACCCACTCTGCTGCATCAGAGGAACCACAGACTATAAATGACATGCAGACAGTCAAGTAAAACATGCATCATCCAATCAGTGCTGCGCTGAGTCTTACGGCGTTCATTAAAGGTCAGTAACCTGCAGAGAGGAGTATGAGACCGTCAGGATTCCTGATTTATTTTCAGGTTAAAACTCAAAATCCTCAAACTGTTTAGGAGATAAACCAGTCACACTATTTTCTCTCACAAAAATTGTAATTACGCCTCGCCGGTGGTGGATTTAAAGGTGAGGAGAGGAGCTGATATGATGGCGAAAACAGGTCTCGGCTGTGTTAAATACACTCCACGCCTTCTCTCCTCCCTCTCTACGACTTACACCGCTGGGAGGAGCTGAGTTAGGGAGGGGGGATACTTACCCCGGGCTGTGCTGCTCACCAAAATACCAAAATGTGCTTGGGAACGCCTTATCGGCGCAGCGGACTTACACTGCGCTTGCGCCATGCTGCCGGCGAGGCACAAAAATAGAGCCCTTTGAATCTGGAGTTTTCTGACAAATACAGACACCGTGATGAGACGTTTCGGAGTTTTGTTTCGTATTTTCAGCCCTTTACTCCTCAGCTTGTCTCACATCTTATTGGACACAGTTTTTAACCTCTTAAACTGCTTAATTGTTGGGTTTTTTTGTCCTAAAGCATTTTTTATTGTTTGAATTGTCGGATTTTAATGGTGTGGGTGTTTCGCAGAGTTGGTAGAGTGCACACACTTCTCTCCAGATCGACTCAAAACTTCTGCAGGTTTTTCTTTAAAATATTTTGCATTCGTCTGTCCTGCTCCAAAAAGACTCAGTGAGGGATTAGTTGTTTGAGGTATTTCCTTCAAACTGGTGGAAAAACTGAGAGCAGATGCCCCTGGTGTGGACTCTGATCCAACTCCAAATGAAAGCACCTGCCTCTGCTGCTGCTGTTCGCCAACAGACGGTTTCAGGTGTTAATGCATCAGGTGGGTTTTCTGCTCTCGGTCAGTCACTTAATGAAGCTTCAAACGACCCTGAACAAAGACGGTGTGTGTGTGTGTGTGTGTGGACGTGTCCCTGCAGTCAGGTGTGTGTGTTTGATGACCCGCTGGTGTACCTGTGCAGCCTCAGTGTGCGTCTGTTCGGGGACACTCGGGCAGCATGTGGGTCGTGTTCGCACAGCGAGGGTCACAGACAGAAACGCCAACAGCTGCTTTCATCAGACTCGGAGCGGTTAATGTGACGAACGGGACAAACACAGAGCTCAGAGCTTTTTAGACGGAGTGTTATCACAAAGAGATCGTGTTTTAGTCGTGCATGAGTATATATGAACTGTTAAAATGATCATCTTTGGTTTAAGATGATCTATGAAGGAGTCCAGGTTTTACTCGAGGATTGCAACCTTTGCACGATGCACAAGTCTGCAGGATGTAAGACGACTTCAGGGAACAGGATTTTGTGCATTTTCTCTTTTTTGTGTTTTAATCCTTATGCTGTGACCTGATCTGACCTGGCTCAAACGATCCCTATTAAATTAATAAACTTGCAGAAACTCGTGCAAAAACCAGAAACAAATACAATAAGATAAACACACACCAAATAAAAGAGCGTGCTGCAAAAACAGAAACAAATGCATAAAAAACTGCTATTTTTTTGCAATTATTGCCTCAATTTCTATTGTTTTTACTTATAATTTGTTTTGTTTTTGTTAGTTTCAATTTCCTGCAAAGCAAAGTTAGCATGCAACTGACTGAAACAGAATTGAATTGAACTAAATGTGCAAATCTAAGAATGCACAAAAGCTGAAACTCCTGATGTGAGCAGAAATGTTCAGTCCTGTCGGTGTATGTTAGTTTTAGAGACAGTTTTCTAATACAAAACTGAAAAATAAGGAGCTGGTTGAATTATGTATACATAAATTATGTTAAAATCTTTGACATGAAAGTGTTCGACTTGTTGAAAAGTAGAAGAGGTGTGAAGAAAATAAAGATTAGACACTTTTAATCTGTTTATTTTTATCAGAATAGATCAATATTGTTCCAGTCCTTCATCCCTCTGTTGTTAACATCTTCGTACGCCCATAGGCTGTATATCAAGTGCCAATCATAGAAAACATGAACCCCCTAATAACTTTTAAAAATGGAGCTGTACAGAAAAAAAGAGGACTTGAGCACAAACCAGTCTGACAGTAACTACATGTCAACATCACAACCAGGGGGAGAAACATTTATATTCTGTGTCATTAATTTATAAAGTTTGTCCACAGCTCCATAAGGAGGCGGGGTTTATGACCTATACTGCAGCCTGTCACCAGAGGGTGCTGTTCTTGTGGAGAGCTTTTCGGCTTTAAATTCGTATTCTGGCAGAACCAAGTTGTCCATAGTTTATACAGTCTATGATTGTTACAGTTAGCATGTTAGCATCCTTACGTTAATATTTAGCTGGGTGCGACACTGTCTTTTAGCTCAAAGAGAGTGATGATTATTATTATCCCGCTAAAACGACTGAGAGAGAGTATTTCTGTGATCAGATCGTCTTTTTTCAGACGATCATAAAACAACATGAAGCTGCAGAGCTGTGCGCGCTGTCGGAGCGACTCTCCCTCTGTGAGTTATTCACTCTCCCGGAAAACTGTGTGCATTTGAGCGAAGTGTGAGAGAGCTGTGTCGAGCTGTTAAAAATGTTGTTTCCATGTTTATCTGCTCACCTCAGGGTCACTTTAAAAATGCATTTCTCTCAAATTGCATTTGAATTTGTGTCGTAGCTGCAGCTTACCGCACACACACTCACACACACACACACACACACACTCAGGCTGTGTCTCTCACACACTCACACTCTTACACACTCCCCCTCACAGTGATGATGGGTTAGGGCTCTGTGCGGGGAGATAAGATAGGTCAAACGCGGTGCCGGGCTGAGTGTGGGTGTTGGGGGGCCGCTCGGTGAATAGCAATGTCCAAAACTAATCGGGATTAACTTCTAATCGCTTCAACCGCTGGGCCGCTATGCAAATCAGCTCAATTATGGGCTCCGGCCCCGGCCCCTGATTGGCTCTTATCACGAGCAGGCGAGGACATGCGAGGCGAGGGGAGGGGGGGGCGCTCAGTCCGATGAACACTGAATCTGAAGCTGTACATTTGATTCCCTAAAATAGAAACTCATTGTTATCTCCTCTTACATCCTTTTCATATTCGCTCCATCGCTGTGATTCTTTCAGGTTTTTATTCTTCTCTTTCTCTAATTTCCTCCGACTGATCTGCTGAATATTTATTCTCAGCCCGTCAGATTAGGGTCTGTGCATTCGAGAAAGACGCAGAATCAGAGTAAATATTAGGTCTTTAAACACTCTGAACCGAAGTTATCAGGACTCTAACCACCGGAGCTGCAAAGGAACAAAGATGGTCCTGAGGAGAGAATTTCTAACCCCTTTAAAAAAAAACCTCCAGAATTTTAATTTCTGTTGATGTTTACACTTTTATTTCTTTTTGTTTCACATTTTTTAACTTTCTAATCTTTTTAATCTCACAGATTTTGCAGTCAGGACCGCTCTAGTCCAAGAAATATAGTGTTGAGAGCTCCCTGCTCTTCCATAAAGTCAGAGGCAGGTAGAGCATCAGCAGCACAGACACAGAATAAAAGAGGAGGATCTGGAGTGGAGGAAGGATGCAAAGATGAATAGTACCCCCAGTTTCCACCGCATCCTGAACGGCTACGAAAAGGCCATGTCCGCCGATCGTAGCTGATTGCAAGAGTTCTATTTTTTCTGGACGCCGGAGCATGCTGGAAAGGAAGTCGGGCACAGACACAAAATAAAACATCTGGCTTCTTTTCAAAATAAAACACTCCGTGTTTCAGGAGGATCGTATTTCACACCATACCAACAAAAGTAAAAGGTTTTTAGACGTCATTTCACGCCGATGACACCATGGATGAGGAGATGCTGATTCTAGAAGTCCAGAAGTAGATTTCCTCCTCTGGAAGGACACAATCTACCGCTTTTATGGTTAGCCTATGTGGCTAAAGACTGTCCGTAATCAGCCATGAAATTCACCTCACAAACGGATCCAGTAGGAATTGGCAGATGGCGAAAATTGCCGCCGTTCGGGATCGGAGCTGTCCTGGATGCAATGAAAATTGGGGGGTAAAGAGGCTAAAATTGGTTAGATAAAGAATCAAACGCCCATCTGCATCAAAGGTAATCAGCTGGCATTAAGATCAGCTTTGTGGCCTGCCTGAACTAACACTAACATTAAACTAACAGGATGATTTCTTGCAGACACGTTCATTTCTCTGCTTTAGTCGAGTAAATGATCTGCATTAAGTGTCGTGTCACTTTGTGTGTTTCCACAGTTACGGACGAGTATATGCTGCAGACCCCTACAACCACACACTCACTCCAGCAGCCACATACAGCGTTGGTGCCATGGTAAGACCCTCACGCCTCTGTTTTACACTTCTTTTACACATGCATGAGCTCCATCTCTGCGAGTCTCTGCTTTTATCCAACATCGTTGTTGCAGAGTCGTTCAAAAGCACCACGATAATGACGTCGTGAATGTTTAATGTTTGTATTTCCTGCATGTAAGGAGCAGTTAAAAACCAAAGCATGCTTTATCATCACTCCTGCAACATCTGGCGTTGATATCTGCGGTCGTAAATTATTGTTGTTGTTTAATCCTGCTGTCTCACTAAAACAGAAATGCATAAATAAACAACCTGCATGATGTTATTTAAAGCAGAACTTATGTCTGTCCTGTTCCTGTGACACTTGAATTCAAGAATAAAAACTGGTACAGAAATAGGAGACAGGCACGACTTGGAAGACTTTGAACTTGTCTATTAGCGCACACACTTTAAATAGTCACAGTTCTAGTTTGATATTAAATTTAACCAGCTCACTCCTCCCCTCCTCCGCTCCCCCTCCTCTATTCTTCAGCCTGTGCAGCGCTGACATCTCCTCACTTAAACTTAATTGAATTTGTCTGTGCTGCTAACGGCGCTCCAAATGACACATTAATCCAGCCTGTAAAAGGTGATGAATGTCTTCATGCCTTGGCAGCCCAGTCCATGTTAGTTATTATATTTCTAATTTGGTGGATACCGCCTCACCCCGCACTGCCTGGTAATGAAATAATTACTCATTTTGATAATTAAATCCCCCGTGTTGCTGCAAACGTGGGGGGAGGAGAGAGAGTCAGGAAGGTAAAGGCAGACTGGAGGGGAAGATAGTGGAGGGTTTGTCGTGGAAAAAAACACCATCAAGAGCAAACAGGAGTATAAACCCTGACTCTGAGAGATAAATCAACCAGAGTTTACTTAACGTCACACCAAACCTCATTCAAAAAACAACCAATTTAAGAGTCTTTTTCTGCCATTTCACATCAAGACTTGACAATTAAAAAATTCTAACTCTTTATGAATCTGGATCATTATTTTGTTATTTCAGCACCATTTGCACTCAGTTACAACAACACTAGTGTGTTTGATACTTTCCTTACAACTGGTTAACCTAAGCTCAGGGATACTATGTTCAAAGATCTAGTTTGATCAAATATTTTAGCAAAGTTTCTAAATTTTGACATAAAATATCAACATTTCCATCATTTTGACTCCTCAGTCTTTGATTTCATTCTGGATTTTTAAAGGGATATTCCGGCGTAAAATTAAGTTAGGGTCAAACACACCATAACACAGAGGTTGACACCCCCTTGAGGGATGAATGTTGCCGACCGCTTGCTTCTCTAGTTATACCAACTTTAGTAATGACCGCACGATAGCAATACACAGCGGTCTGAGGAGCCATAAACAAACCTGAGGCCAGTCCATTACGGACTGCAGCGGGGTGACGCAGCTCAAGGAAGAACATTTATGATCATTTCTTTATCATTTCCTTGAAGTAATAATCACCATATTAATCATTTCACACTGCAAACGCTGTAGTTCTTCTACCTTAGCGTCTCGGTCTGATTGTATTTCCATGAAGAAATGATCATAAATGTTCTTCCTTGAGCTGCGACACCCCGCTGTAGTCCATAGTATGTTCTGAGTATTATTTGTGGCTATAGAGAGACGTTTTGGTTGAGGTTTGTTTATGGCTCCTCAGACCGCTCTGTATTGCTATCCTGCAGTCGTTACTAAAGTTGGTATAACTAGAGAAGCAAGCGGTCGGCAACATTCATCTCTGGAGGGGGGGGGGTCTAACTCTGTGTTCCAGTGTGTTTGACCCTAAATTAATTTTACGCCAGAATATCCCTTTAAGCTCAGGGATATGATGTTGAATTTTGACATAAAATATCAACATTTCCATCATTTTGGCTCCTCGCTCTTTACGTTTTCCAGATGTCAGGTTTTCTCCATCACCTCCTTCATGGTTTTACGTTTTTACTGACTGGCTCTCTTTCACGTAGCGGTCTGCATGTTCCCCTGGCATGAAACGTGTCGCTGTGCTTGCTGCATGATGGTCTCCCCGGTCTGTTCGCCGACCCCCGTTTACACTGGAACGATGGTAACGTAATCCTGAAACTCTGCTCGTAGTTTGCGCAGGACTGAGGATGCTAATGTCGTGTATTTTTGTGTTTCAGAATGCGTTCGCCCCGCTGACAGACGCCAAAACTCGGAGTCATGCAGACGATGTGGGGCTGGTTCTGTCCTCCCTGCAGGCCAGTATATACCGGGGGGGATACAGCCGCTTCGCCCCCTATTAGCAGCCCCCCTCCCCCTCCCCTCTCCACCACCTTTACTCAAGCTTCCAACGGGACAGAAAGAAAGAGTGTGTGAGCGTGAGAGTGTGTGAGAGTGCGAGCGTTATCAGAGGAGAGGTGTTACTGTGGCCTGGGTTTTGCAATACATGCAGTTTGTGCATCAATTCAACGTCTCCTCAGAGAGAAGTACAAAAAAAAAAAAGATTAAAATGACAGCTGATATTTTTCATCTTATACCTCAGATATTTTGTGCTGTGTATTTTGATATTGTGGGTTTTTAATTTCTAAAGATTTAAACCTAGATTATCAGCTGTAGAGGTTTTCCATGGTACTAATAGAGAGCTGTTAGAGCAGTGATTAGAACACAAAGTGAATATTTATCAGATTGTTAGGGCTGTATAGAACCCTGTAAGATAGGTCATAGTCACACTTTAGGGTTTTTATGTTTTGTAAGAGTGTTCAAGTGACTATGGTAGTCAAGTGTTGTCGTTTTACTTCTCTCAGCTTCCTTTGGCACTTCCTCTCTCGGTTTCAAAACAATGTTGAGTTGTTTCTTTTCAGGGAGGAAGTAAGGAAGCGTCGGCGCAGACAAAATTCTTCTAAAGGGCAGGTTTGGAAAATCCAAGAAGCCGAGAGAAGCCATGATTAATGGTTTCATGTTATTATTATTGCTGCTTAACTTACACTGCAATTTAACCCTCACATGGTGGCAACCAAACAAAGAGATGAAGCCACTTAAAGTTTCTTCTTTGGTGTACGGAAGCCCTGAGAGGACAATAAGTCATAAAAAAAATTTATTGTGTCTTTTTTTAATCTTCCATATTAGCAGCATTAAGAAGTGCCAAAATGACTTATTTTGCACAATATTTATGATATGTGTGTCTATTTGTTTTCTGCAGATGATTTTTTTTGAAGTACCAGACATCAGACAAAAATAGAAAAACTTTTTTTGCATAGAAAAAGGTTTTACATAAAATGAACTGCATAAAACGTGCCAATTAAAAAATACAATAAAAACTCAAATGTAGTATGATTTAAGAGGAATATGTGCAAAAATTGGAATATTTACCAGTAAATAGCAGTCAGATTTAAGCTGAAACACCCCCCTGCTCAACCCTCCTTTTACTGAAGCTACGGTGGCCTTTGAGGACAAGAAGTATGATCCTCAATTTGTCCATTTTTCACTGTAAACAACATCTATTAAATCTTAAAACACGTATTTTAGTAATATGTCCGTTCTCAAAAACAAAACAAAAAAAGGATTTTGAATTTTGAAAATTATTTTCCATTTCTGCCGATTTAATAATATTAAATTTCACCAAATGTTGCACATTGTATCTTTAAAGTCTTTTTTATTTCTTTATTAACAACGAAAGTTTATTGGTGTTAATGACATTTTGGCACCGGATCAGATCTAAAAGCAACAAAGAAGAGAGTAGCTACCTCGTGTTTGGAAATTCTCACATATTTTTTTCATTTGACTCTCAGGGCTTCTGTAGATTTGTCACCAAAATTTAATTTACCGTAGCCAAAACCATCGCAAGCAACGGCTTCTCTGTTTTTCTGCACATTTATCAAGTTATGACCTCCTCATGAAACAACAAGGCTAGTTAGTCATGGCTGCTCTGGGCTTCCGTAGAAAAGCAGGTTTTGATATCAGGATGAGACAGGTGTGATTTTTAGGCTGTAGGTTTAATGAATATGAGGTTTTTCTCTTACATCACTTCAAGCCAAAGGTTCTGGTGGACGTGTCTGAGTGTTTGTGTGTACAGTCGGGATTACAGATGGAAACAAACGTCATCGGACATGGAGAGAAAAAAGAAAAAAAAGATTTAATGGCAACGAAACTGTTCAACCATTTAAAGCTTATTAAAAATGATTTCATGAGATAAATTGGATTCAGTGCAAAAGTGTAAGAAAAAAAAATCTGAATGCTGGAGAAAAAAAAAAAAAAGTCAAACTTCCATTACAGAATCAGACTCACGCGGTTACCATGGTAACTCTTTTTTTGGCACTAATCCTCTTCCGTACTGAGCGGTGTTGGCCATGCAGGCGTAGATGTTTTTTATATATAAACTTCCAATGTGTTTATTGGTATAAATGATGATTTTTATATTACAGGAGAGATTTAAAATATATATCTATATCAGCGGCTGAAGCTGCTGCGTCTGTTATCTTTTTGTTAGTTTTGTTTGAATTTGTTTTTTTAAATAATTAAAAATGTAAGGGGCTGGGGGTAAAGTATAATAATAATCCAACAATGTATTATATTTGACTTGTGCAGTGAAGATGTTCTCTTATATAAAAATACACAATAATGTTCAAATGTTTTAGATCTAGACGAGTAGATGAGCTGTTAGGGCGAGCGGTCTCATTTTCTATGGACTCATATTCTGGTTTTTATTAACGAATCATGTAATCACTTTGTACATAATCTCATTCATTATCATCTGACTGTCAGCTGTACCATTTTGCACATGCAAACTTGTATTTTCCACACATGTACCTGAGACATATCAGTGCTCCAGATGTAATTTTTATTGTTTTGTTTTTTAACGTTTCTTTGATTTCATGTCATTCTTAATGTGACCTCCTGTTTTTTTGGTTCTTTTCTAGACCTTTAACCTTTACTCTTTGAGAATTAACTGTTTGAATATTACAATACTAAATGAATATGAGAAATAACTGATTTGTGAACAGGCTAATCTATGCTGTAAATAGAAGTTACTGGAATAAATCTGTAGTGTGTTTTAAAGGCGCTACATGGCAGCAGAAGCTCCGCCCACGCTGCCAGATTCTGTTTACAACTCCTCCCAAATTAGTGCTGGTGTCAAATATCTCCTTTTTTATTTATCACTGATTAGATAGGACACACTCTCAGATGCATCACGCTATAAAAAAAGCAGAGTGAGAGTTTGTGTGTGTGTGTGTGCGTGTGTGAGCGTATGTATGTGTGTGAGTGTGTGTGTGTGTGTGTGTGACTTTACTGAATGTCTGACAAACACTTTATACGAGCTCTGCTTCCAGTAGGTGTCGTGGTTCAGAACGAGGCTTCCTACCCGCTCATTGTATGTGCATGTACTCTGGTTCCTCCACTAATCAGTAACCATCAATAAAGTTTTCTTTTCTCAACTAGTCGCATCAGTTTCCTCTTTAGAAGACTTTCAAAATAAAAGACCCAAACAAATGTACGGTTTTGCAAAACAATGAGGAGTTATTCTGTACGAGCTAAAAAACATGACCAAAAACATAATTGATTTTCTAACTTTACATGCGACAGCGGTCTGAACTAGGCTTGCACAATTTATGTTTAAATTGTTTAACAATAAATTAAAACTGCATGTAATTAATAAGCAAAGTCCATCTTGCAGCATCTGCAATTCAACTATTTTGGCACCAGTTTATTTGGGAGAAGATGACAGTTTAGATTTATCTTACTGCATCAAAAGGTATGAAAGCATGAACTCAAAATCTGAAAAAGCATTGGACAGTTTACATTTGCTTTAATTATTGCACTCAGTGGATAACAAAACCTTTTTGCAGACATGCATCTGTAAATATGATCACACAAAGTATAATTTCTGAAAAAATAAATGTATAGATTAGATTAGATTAGATTGGATTAGATTCAACTTTATTGTCATTACACTTGTTCAGAACAGTGCAACGAAATGCAGTTTAGCATCTAACCAGAGGTACAATCACGCAAGTATCAGATGATATTTACAACATGGATAAATATGTACGCATACCTAGATATATATTTATATATATGTACACATAAATAAGAGACAGTATGAAATTGCTATTGTCAATATTTATATTAGTTACATTATGTAACGGGTTAAGAGTTCAAGAGAGCTCTGTGAAAGAAACTGTCTCTCAGCCTGTTGGTCCTGACCCGGAGGCTCCTGAAGCCACATTAGAAAAGTAAACATTTCATAGATGTGACAGTGTTGGACACATTCACTGACAAAAACAATCATTTTACCTCCCAGAACACAGCAGTCACCATGCAGCAATCTACCATGTCTTCAGTATGGATGTGCAAAATTCTGCAGTTCCTTGAGTGTCCACTGGGGGCTGGTTGAAAGGCTAAGGAAACCCTATTGAGGTAACTCTATATTAAAATGTCCTTTTTTACAGCAGAATTGAACATTAGTCAGGGTCTGTTTGGCTCGCACACTGTGCAGGTGTGAAATGTTTTATGAATCTTCTGTTTCGAAGAATTAAGGGCAAAAGTTTGGGAGGATTTTGGCCAAATTAGGGGCGTGGCTGAGCTGATTGACAGGCAGCCTCAGCTCTGCTACTTTGGCTGTTTCTGGTTTAATCTAAAGTTAGGTTGAGTCAGCATGACGGCTTCCTTAACGGCCTCTTCAAAACATCACTGAGACCGTCTATGATTTGTTCAGTTTAGGGAATCACTGTCCTGTTTATTCTGCAAGAATGACGATTTGCAGAGAGATAACATCGCAGCCGTTACAGCCTGTAAGTATTACTAATCATCCACAACCAACAGGCTCCAGTTTGGCCCAGTTCAAAAAAGGACAACATTACCAGGATTGCCTTAAAGGGATGGGCGTCCTCTCCTTTAAAGCGGGTATTTCTAATGTGGTAAAATGGAATAAAAGTTACGGTTTTATTTAGAGCAGACACTTAAATTCGTTTATGAAGGGGTAGTTTTGGGGATGAATTGCAGATCAGGATTTTCTTTTGGTTTTAAAAGCCCGAGGTTGATATTAAAATTCATTGATTTAGTTTGGTGCAGTCTCAGCACATTCATGCTCCACATTAATCTGTAGGAATCATTACTTCAGCTGTTTTAAATGTGCTTTATAAATAAATGTATATCCTGGTTTTTGAGCTTTTTATTACCTGCAGTCTGATGGAGAGGAATCGGCCATTATTCATCAGCTCGCTCTGTGGAAGTGAAGCGCTCTGGGATCAGGTGAAATATGCATGTCATCAGTGTTTTCTAATTGAAGCAAAGAGAAGAATTACTC